TAAGCTGGCCCAATATATTCCACATGCTTCCATGCCTATGCTTCCCTTTTGTTGGCCAAGTGGAAGAGGTGTCGAAGTAGAGATAGGTTGGTTGAGTGATTGGCGAGCTGACGTTGAACTTATAGTGCTTCTACTCTAATGCGTTGGGCAGAGTGAAATCAGCCCACATGTATAGCGGAATAGCAATGCGCATGAGTACAACTCTTGGTCTACATCGCTGTCTGCCTGAGGGTACTGTCTTATCAGCTGTTGAGAGAGAGCATAGGATTCGCCTTTGGTGGACTGTTTACATATTTGATAGGTCGACAAGTTCACGACTGGGCCAGCCAGTGACGATCCAAGATTCCGACATTGACGTGCAGCTGCCTTCCTTTGACGGCCTCCCGAAGGAGGTGCAGGAAAGATTGGGATCGCCTGCGCATCTGGCTGCTAATATAGAGCTGTCTCGTATCACCGGGTCCATAATGCAAGATATTTATGGTCCGTCTTCAAGGTCCAACCCCGGAAGATTCGTCCAGAATGTACGGTCAATCTTGAAGAAGCTCAAGAAATGGGATGCAAATACACCGCCCAGCCTTCAATTGGGCCAAGGAACAATCCCCCGATCAGTTGCCTCTCTGCAGCTGCATTTCAATCAATGTATTATTTTGACGACGAGACCGATCCTTCTTTACGTGTTGAAGGTCAAGAAGCCGTTTGCGAATCCACCAGGAGCTGCAGCAGTTCCCATTTCCGACACCGCCAGAACATTATCTGATGCCTGCATATCTGCTGCCAGAACATCAAACAGCATTATATACCAATTATTTATTGAGAATGCTTTGGCTACATACGGATATTTTGACACACATCATCTCTTTTCGTCAACACTTGTTCTCATTATTTCAGCCATCATCTCCCCCAACTCAAGTGACTCTGATGCAGTCCAAGCTGCTTTTCAGCTGCTGAAAGGGATGCGAGATAGCGGGAATGCAACTGCCGCCCAGTACTTCTCGCGACTCGTACATATGCAATGGAATGTGAGCCGGCTTTTCGCCAGAGCAACGGCTGTGGAAGAAGCTGCCGCATCAAACAATGCCCCAGCCCATACGACTCCCATGAACTATATATCCCCCAACCCGCCTCAATCAGGCATTTCTGACTTTGAGGCTTACGACTGGAGTAACTTCCTTCCTCCCAACTCAGCGGATGCCAACTATGAAGATGGAGGAGTAAGCCATACTGTGGTTGATCCGTTGGACAACCCACTACTCCAGGCATTTCTGGATACTACAGATGCAAGCTGGGACGAGAACTTGGGGCTAACAACAGAAGAACTTGGAAGCTATGTTGTATAAAAATACTATTGTGTGTTTTCTTCTTCTTTTCTCTTTGGGAGTTTCCTAGCACTTTATTTAACTTGATCACTTGCTCAATGATTTACACCACAGCCATCAAAAGAACTGAAATTTAGAACAGGATATATCGAGTTTGTATAATCAGTGCCTTAAAACTTCATTAAATGCCCTCGCGATGTATTTCACATTACCCTCGTTAACACCGCTCAGACTTATACGCCCATTGTTCATCAAGTAAATGTGGTGGACTTCCCTCAACCTCAAAACCTGATTCTCGCCCAAGCCAGTGAAACTGAACATTCCAATCTGCGACTCGAGGCGACTCCAGTCTCCTGAACTGGGATCTTCATCGATGGCTTGCCTGAGAAGGGACCTCATCTTCGTAATCCGACCGGACATGACTCGCAGATCATCCTCCCACATTGCCCTCAACTTGGCGTCAGATAGTACGGTCTGTACGATCCGGGCCCCGAAGAGAGGAGGATTGGAGATCTCGGCACGAACCAGGCGTAGCAGCTCACTTCTAGCGCCGGCAGCTGGGGTCTGTTTTGGGAGGATGAGGTGGAAAGCGCCAACGCGCTCACCATAAAGGCCAAAGTTCTTGGCGAATGATTGAGCGATGCACATGCCTGGAAGAGCAGAAGAAGGGTCTTCTGCACTAGATTCACCGAAAAGAGTCTGCTGGAAGTGGCGAACTGCCCAGCCGTCCACCTCCACATCTCCGGTTGCAAAGCCTTGGTAGGCCGAGTCGAAGAAGGCGAACAGCTTCTTTCGCTTGAACAACGTTGCAAGAGATTGCCATTGCTCTCGTGTTGGGTCAGCTCCTGTTGGGTTATGAGAGCATGCGTGTAGAATCACAACGTCATTCTCTTCGGCCTCCGTCTCGAGAGTCGACATCATTCCATCAAAGTCGAGCGTGTGGTTGGAGAAGTCGTAATAAGGATATTTCCGTTGCGTAACATTCGGCGCACCCACTGTCCAGACGAGATGATGGTTGCTCCAAGTGGGATCAGAGATGAAAATGTTCTTGGGCTGCAGCTTTTGGCCAAGGAAAGCAGCTCCTACATGGTTGGCTCCTGTGCCCGATATTGTCTGTAGAGAGACAACATTAGCGGTGGCTGCGGCCTCCTTTCCGAGAATTAGATCCTTTGCTGCACTGAGAAATGAATCTAGTCCTTGTATAGGAAGATATTCATGATCTAGATCGGTTGTTTCATGTAGAATTCTTTTCGCCTACGAACGTGGTGGATTAGATCATGGTTGATGGATGCAGTAGAAATCAGGGGGCCACGCCTACCTCTCTCACGCTTGATAGAACCCATGGCTTGGAGTTTCCATCCCTGTAGACTCCTGCGCTAAGGCTGACCTTATTGGGGTGATTATCAGCCTTGAAATCCGCGGTCAAGGCGAAGGCCTCGTCACGAGGTTGTTGGGGAATTTCTCCGAGTGTGACGGGCATGTTGAAATAACAAAACTGATTGCCCTTAAGACTCTAATCTGACATATTCGCACGACAAGAAATTTGGTATTTTAATGGACTTACACATGAATTACCGGCGGTAGGGGGAGGTAGATCAATCGGCAGGAACTGGATCGGTTAGCAGAGATATCAGTTTGGTCGGATGAAATAGCCGATGCCGATATCATCGGCTTTCCCCCAGCACTCGATAAACATGCATTATCGGTAACGTTGGCTCGGCGTACTTGAATGGAGATGTACTTTGATCGAAAATAAGCATAGAATGACACAGGCATATCTCATTTCAAGGCCATGACTCAGTTGCCGAAACGCAGATATTGATAGTTCACAATTTGGTTAGTTCAGCATTAAATATTCTATTCTATTGCGCGTTCTTTTCCAATGATGCCAAGACAAGTCTCTTGTACACCGCAACAGATTCAATCAGATCGGGAATCGCGACTTGCTCATTTACCCCATGAGCGTGTAAAATAGACCCGGGACCGTATAGGTAGCGTTTGTGGTTTCCCTTCAGACGTGGGATGTCGGTGCCAAATGAAACCGGCATGGAATCCAGCCCTGGAAACAATTAGAATGTAATACAGTGAACTTGGAAAGGGAACATTACCTTCTATCTCGTAGTCTAGATACGTCTCAGAGTACCCGAATGACTTCTTTAGTGTGACATCGGGGTACTTGTTGACTACGTCGGCGACCTTTTTCTCTATCTCTTCGAGGTTCGCGGCAACGCGGATGCCACATAGAGCATAGGCGTCTGCAGCAAGAACATTGTAGGCTACACCGCCCTGAATCTTACCGAGATTGAAGGTTGTAGGGCCTAGGAGCTCCGATGTTGGGAGATCCAAAGACTTGAGCTCGTCGAGTAGTGTTACTAGGGTAGTGGCTGCATTCTTACCCTTCTCAGGGTATCCGGAATGACTGGCGAAGCCTTTTGCAAAGAGCTCGAACACAAAATGCCCCTTGTGACCGACTGCCAGTTTCCCTTCGGTGGGTTCTCCGAACATGATTGCTTCCCAACTCAAATCCATGTCATTGGCAGCAAGCATGCCGGGACCTCCCTTTTCTTCTCCGACGACGAAAAGGAGAGAGATATCACCATCTTTGATGGCCCGCTCCGCACGCAACTCTTCCGCAGCTATAATTTGAGCAGCCAATGGCCCCTTGTCGTCGCATGATCCACGCCCGTAGATGATATCGCCCTCAATTTTGAAGTCAATATGTGGCGGGACGGTGTCCATGTGGGAAGTCATGCAGGTTCGAGCCTTGCGGTCAGCACCTAGATAGGCGTAAACATTGCAGCGGTCGGAATCGGGTGCGATGGGAATAAGCTCGACAGTGTATCCAAGATCTTCTAGATATTTGGAAAGAAAAATGCCAATCTTCTGCTCTTCCTCACTGACCGATGGGATCTCCATAAGCTGCCGGAGTAGCTGGACAACTGGGGTGTTTGCCATATTTGGTCGTCTGCTGAATACTCAAAGTATTTAGATTTGAAGCACATGAAGGAAACAATAATATTGAAACGGGTCAATAGAAACAAAATAATGCTACTCTGACATCTGATGCTTAGCTAGATGATTTATCGGATTTGATGCTGTTCCGCATTATCGGGTAGTACCTACCGAGTTTCATGAACACTGCTAAGATACCGACCCGTTATCGCCTTGAGCCGGGATCGAATACGGAAGAATTCCAGAGCAACCGATCTAGACTAAGATTGGAGAAACTGGGGTAACAACGTGGGTTACTCACATCAGACCTAAGATGCAGATTAGATAGCTATCAAGGCCAGTCTGATCTAGGTTGGTACATTTGCTGAACTCCTGAATACCGTCTTACACTATTGATGCTAGACGAAAAGCAATCCCGTGACTTAGATATGTGAAACCACAAGTGATTCTTGATATTCTATAACGAATGTCGGGCTGCCATCTGGAAATGATTTGAAGTTGCTCTTACAGGTTCTTTATTTATGCTTTCTGTGTGCCTTTACAAGGTGAGGATGAAATTTCGCATGACTCGAACCTCAAGTTTGTTAGATATATAACAACTTATATTATATTGGGAACCATCCCCAGACTATCTAGTATAATGTAAATATGTTGAAGAGAAGTTGTTGATATTCGTCTGGTCCCCAGACCATCTTCTCTAGCCCAAATTGTTGTATTTGAGACTAGAATCTTCTAAATGGAATACCTGAAGTGTGGGCAATAGTCACCCAAGTCAGGATTTGGCGCAATAGGAGTACCTGCCTGCTCTGCAGCCAGAAGTATCGCAGCTCGCCTGCGGTTGACAATAGTGAAGCTGACCATGAGCACAATGACAATCAAACCGGCAAACGCAGCCAAGCCCATGGCAACCGACAGTCCAAGAATGTATCGCGGGGCTGTGGGCGTGGTGAAGATCTGTCCAACGGCGACACCGGCCGTGTTTCCCAGGCACAGCATGAAACCGACCATCGTGGCTCGCTTGTAGTGCTTTGCGGCATTGTCCTGTAGCCACATTGTGGAGAGACCCGTTGTTGGGTAAATTCCAAGAGCGGCAACTGGATACTGGACGTTAGCACGTTTAATCATGGGGAGGAGTGAGAGCAACATACGGAAACAGGCGAAGAACCTCACTTTGAGGTTCTCAACGCTGATAAGAATGGCGTATCCGATGATAAGGCACATCAAACAACCAAGCATATATGGGCCTCTCATCTGTGTACGGTCTGAGAAGTAGGCAATGACCAAGAAGAAAAGCAGAGAGCAGATGTAGATGGGCACCGTCATGAGGTTGGCATGCACAGAGGTATACCCAAGTCCCCTGACAATGGTAGGAAGAAAGGTCGTCAAGCCATAGAGAGAGATGTTGACTGAAAACTGGTACGCCCAGAATGCGTACCATTTGGGGTCCTTGAACGCCTTGAAGCATTCGGCCCAGGAGAACTCTTCATCGTTGCCCCAGCTTGGATCGGCATCGTAGCGTGCTTGCATCATTTGCTTCTCCTCTGCTGTGAGGAACCAGGCTTCGGTGGGGGACTTGGGGAAGACGAAGTAGAAGCAAGGCACAATCACGAAGGTCATTGCACCCTCGATGGCGAAGAGCCACCGCCAACCGGAGAAATTGTCCGTTTTAATTTGTGTGAGGCCGTAGGCAAGGATGCCACCAAACGCGCTGGAGAAGGCACTGAATGCAAAGATCATGGACGATCTCTTTCCACGCTCGGATTTCTTGTACACCCATCCCAAGTACACGTTGATGCATGGAATAAGACCGGCTTCGAACAGACCAATGAGGAGTCGGCAGGCATATAACGCTCGGTAGTCCTTGACGAAACCTGCGGGCGTTAGTGAAAGGTTGTTACCGAGAGCGATCATTGTTATTTACTCATTCCAAGAGTCGCCGAGCCCCAGCAAAAGGCGGAAACGGCCATGAGTGGCTTCGGGCCGATGATTTTGAGCAGGACGGCAACGGGGCCTTCGAGAGGGACATAGGTTGCAAACCTGTAGGGCAGGGAAGTCAATAATGTACACTAGGTGCAGGTGGTACAAATATCTTACAGTAATGTAGTCGCAGTTCCGAATTGGTTGCCCACGAGGTTGAGTTCCTCCGGAAGGCCTGCGATGTTGGCGTTTCCCAGGTTGCTTCGGTCCAGATTTGACATCAAGTACAGGAATCCCATGGCACTGACTGCGAAGAGCTGCTCTTTGTATTAGCATTGTGGATTGACTGGAAAACGGAAGACATAAGACAAACATCGAACTTTCGCATCATGCGACTCTCTTTGACAGGATCAATGTAATAATCTGATGACCCATGCTCAGAGTCTGGCTTGCTGTCGTTTGGAGACGCCGCAACCTCTTTCGAGGAGCGGACCTCCTCAACTGCAGTTGACATCTTGGAGAAACCTAATTGAATATAGAAGGGACTTTATTCAAGCCAATTGATTCTTGGAAAGTTGTTACTCCCTCGAGATGATGTTTGGCTTCTGGCAGGGGCAGGCGGCAGGTAAATATGGGACAACGTCAACCTGTCATGACATGGTTCAAGTTGCTGTCATCTCCAATGGTTCATAGCACTACCGGCTCGCCATCCCTGGCATATCTGATAAGTCAATTGGAGCAATCGAACGATCAAGGTCAGGCATGAAGCGAGCATCTCTCACCGGAACTTGACAGATAACGTTTATCAACCAAATGACCGTTATCTTGGTATCAACGCTATCTGCGAGTGGATCACATTTCTGTTATCACTTGGCTTGGGTCGGCTTGACTTGATGGTTGCCGATCGGTTTAATATCTCCGCATTTCCAAACCGGCATTGCCATGGTCCAGCCAAATCACGGCAATCCGTTGGCTTGAGCCGATAAGTGAGCACCGGCACCGACCGTGACCAAAAACTGAGTAACAGAGGCTTTAATAATACACACTCATCTCTTGTGAAGAACAATCGTTCTGAAGACATTGAATATATCCTTTGTGATTCTTCACTGTTGAGAAACCCGATCAGAAGCCAACGATCATTCTTTCACCAAACATGGCTTCGACACAGGGAATCCGCATTGCGATTGATCGGGGAGGCACTTTCACAGATGCTTGGGCCAGGCTCCCGGGAACGGACCGAGAGCTCGTGCTCAAGGTTCTCTCCCAGAGCCCCGATGAGTATGACGACGCCCCTACCGAGTGCATCCGCCAAATTCTAGAGATTGCCACCAACACACAAATTCCTCGGGGAACACCTTTGGACCTCAGCCCGGTTGAGTTCATCCGCATGGGCACGACGGTTGCGACTAACGCTCTCTTGGAACGCAAGGGCGAGCGCTGTGCCCTTGTCATCACCAAGGGCTTCCGAGACATCCTTGAGATTGGAAACCAAGCAAGGCCGCACATCTTCGATCTCTCGGTGCGCCGGATGAGCAAGCTGTACGACAGAGTTGTCGAGGTTGATGAGCGCGTCACAGTCGAGGGATTTGCAGAAGATCCGGAGCCCCAGCCCATCGATGTGGACTCTGAGCCTTGTCTTACCACCGGGCTGGCTGGTGAGGCAGTTCGGATTATCAAGGTACCAGATTACGATATAGTTCGCGCCGACTTGGAGGTGCTCTGGGAGGAGGGATACCGAAGTCTGGCCATCTCCATGATGCACTCCTACACTTTCCAGGACCACGAGCTGGGTATTGCCAAGGTCGCACGCGAGATTGGCTTCAGGGTTGCCGTCTCGTCGGACCTTCAGAAAATGGCAAAGATCGTGCCCCGAAGTCAGTCAGCTGTTGCCGACGCCTACTTGTCCCCCATCACAGACGAATACCTCGAAAACTTCCGGAAAGGATTCAAAGGCCAGCTTCGGGACAGCCATGCTAGCAAATTATTCCTCAACCAGTCAGACGGCGGTTTGACGGCATTTGATAACTTCACAGGCCTCAGGGGTGTATTGAGTGGCCCTGCAGGCGGTGTGATTGGCCTTTCCAAGACTTGCTATGACGAGAAGGATGCGACACCCGTTCTCGGATTCGATAGTAAGTTGTATCATCTGGTTTTCTGTTACGAACAGTTTTCTAACATTGCTTTTAGTGGGTGGCACCAGCACCGATGTTGCACGTTATGCCGGATCTCTTGAGCACATCTTCGAGAGCACCATCGCCGAAGTAACGATCCAAACCCCACAGCTTGACATCAACACTGTTGCTGCAGGTGGTGGATCAATTCTGACATGGGAAAACGGGTTGTTTAAGGTAGGACCTGGAAGCGCTGGCGCAAACCCGGGACCTGCTTGCTATGGCCGTGGCGGTCCGCTGACAGTAACTGATGCCAACTTCTTCTTGGGTCGTATTATTCCAGACTTCTTCCCACGACCTCTTGACCTGGAAATTGTGAAGAAGAAATTCTCTGAAATTACGGAATCTATCAACAGCACCAAGGAGGGAGGCACCAAGTTCACCGAGGAAGAGGTTGCCATGGGCTTCCTGTTGATTGCCAACACCACGATGACACGACCAATCCGAACTCTTAGCGAAGGCCGAGGGTTTGAGACAGCGGCACATAATCTAGGCTGCTTTGGAGGAGCTGGTGGTCAGCACGCCGTTGCTGTAGCAAGAGATCTAGGAATTCGTCATGTTGTCATTCCTCGGTATTCAAGCATCCTATCTGCCTACGGCATGGCTCTCGCCGACGTCGTCGTCGAGAACCAAGAGCCGGAAACTCTGACTTTCTCTTCGGCAGCTGTCCCTAAACTGCAAACGAGATTCGAAAGACTTTCCGCAAAGGGATCCCAGGGTTTATATGCACAGGGATTCAATGATGATCAAATCAGGCACGAGTACTTCTTGAACATGAGATACCAAGGCAGTGACACTGCCCTAATGATCCAGCATCCTGGAGATCTTGCTCTATTTAACAAAGCATTTGTCGACCGTCACCATCAAGAGTTCGGTTTTACGCAACCTCGAGAGATTATCGTTGATGATGTCAGAGTACGAAGCGTTGGAAAGGGTGCGGATCTCAAACTTAGTAGCCCCTTTGAAGAATTCCGAAGAATTCAGACTTCGCCCCCCGTCACACCCACAAAGCCCGACTCTGTAAGAAAGGTTTACTTTGAAGGGCAGGGGTGGAGCGACACGAGCCTGTATTTCCTAGACGACATCCCTCGGGGAGCTCGCGTGAAGGGGCCTGCAATGATCGTTGATAAGACACAAACTGTCGTCATTGATCCTTCTAGCGCTGCCTTCGTGCTGCCCGAGCACCTCTTCCTCGAGATTCTGGACGTCAACAAGCCTGAAATATCCACAGATTCCGTCGACCCCGTTCAGCTCAGCATCTTTGGCCATCGTTTTATGAGCGTGGCGGAGCAGATGGGTCAAACCATGCAGAAAACCTCCATCTCGGTTAATATCAAGGAGCGACTGGACTTTTCCTGCGCCGTATTCTCTGCCGACGGTGGGCTGGTCGCCAATGCGCCCCATATCCCAGGCCACTTGGGGTCGATGAGTTACGCCATCGCCTACCAGGCCAAGCTCTACGGTCCTGGAGAGTTGAAACCGGGCGACGTGCTTTTAAGTAATCACCCGTGCGCCGGAGGAACTCACTTGCCGGATCTGACGGTAACTACTCCTGTCTTTGACGATGAGAAGAATCCCACAAAGATCCTCTTTTTCGTTGCCAATAGAGGGCACCACGCAGACATTGGCGGGATCCAACCTGGGTCTATGCCGCCACACTCCACTGAATTATGGCAGGAGGGTGTTGCTGTCGAAACATTCAAAATTGTCAAGGCGGGGCAGTTTGATGAAGAGGGCCTTCACAGAATTCTCGTCGACATCCCCGGTTCCTATCCTGGCTGCAGTGGAACAAGAACATTAAGAGACAACATCGCCGATCTCAAGGCTGCAATTGCGGCCAACAACCGCGGCATCCAACTCATCAGCGCACTCGTCAAGGATTACACGTGGCCGGTGATTCAGTTTTACATGCAGGCTATCCAAGATAATGCTGCGCAGTCAGTACGACAGCTCCTCAAGGTCTTCTCTAAGAGATTCGAAGGCCAGGATTTGCAGGCCGAGGACTTCCTCGACGATGGCACGCCTCTATGTCTCAGTATCAATATCGACAGTGAGACTGGTGACGCTGTCTTTGATTTCGAAGGAACCGGCCACGAGCACTTTGGCAATCTGAATTGTCCACCCGCGGTGATGTTCTCAGGTATCATGGTAAGTGACAATATATTGATAGATCACCACCGATGCATTTACTACTTGCTAATCAATACGTTAGTACTGCCTACGCTCAATGATCTCAACCGAGATCCCCCTCAACCAGGGATGCCTGGCGCCGATCAAGCTCAAGCTCCCTGCCGACTCGATCCTGTCGCCCTCCCTCAAGGCAGCTACTGTGGGGTCCAACGTCGAGACGTCGCAGAGGATAGTGGACCTCATTTTCAAAGCATTCCAAGCATGCGCTGCTTCCCAAGGGACGTGCAACAACTTGACATTTGGGTACGGTGGCACGGACCCAGCCACGGGCGAGGTAACGAAGGGTTTCGGATACTACGAGACAATTGCAGGTGGTTCTGGGGCTGGCGCCGACTGGGAGGGCGAGAGTGGTGTGCACACTCATGTCACGAACACGAGGATATCTGATCCGGAGATCTTCGAGCGACGATACCCCGTGATCCTTCACGAGTTCTCCATTCGCCACGGTAGCGGCGGCCTGGGAATGAATCGCGGTGGTGATGGCTGTGTGCGTGATATCGAGTTCCGGATGCCGATGCAGGTATCCATCCTATCGGAACGTCGTGTCATTGCCCCGTACGGTATGGCAGGGGGCGATGAAGGCAAGAGAGGGCTGAACTTGTGGATTCGCCGTGATCCCGAGGACGGCACGACCAGAACCATTAGTCTAGGTGGTAAAGCGACTACGATGATGAACGCCGGAGATAGGATTGTTGTCCAGACGCCTGGTGGCGGCGGATACGGTCCCAACCCAGACAAGAAGGCGAAGAAACAGGTGGTTGGAGCATTCAAGATTGGAGAGAAGTTTGCCAATGCCCAGCTTCTTGCTCGGACAAATGGAAGTGTGGCTCAGAGAAATGCAACTGCAACAGAGGGATAAGGCTGAAAAATCAAAAATTGAATTTACGAGGACAGCCAAAAGTTCACCAATTGATATGCTACCACCATTTCTAAAGATGTTCATTCATACCGCTTCATGTATTAATTTAATATCGATGAATTCTACCATAAAATAAATTGCTATTGGACGAATGTTGGTCTGCGAGATCATTGCATGATGGGTATTGTGTGTATCGGCTATAGGGTAGCTCTAATCCACTACGCGATCTCCGTAGAACAGCAAATACGCCTGCAAGGAGCGTCGCCCGAAGACGTTCCTCTTCAGCCATTAGCTAAGGAGACTGGGCTAGGGATGCTATGAATTCGTTTAAGATGAATGCGGAGTTATCCAAGATTGTTTCGGATAAGAACCTTGAGGTGGCTATAACTCCCGAGCGATTAATCTGTGATTCCCATCCTCCTGTATACACTAGCTGGACAACTCCACAGTCAAGCTATGCTGAGCATATTGTGATCGATGAAACGGTTCTGGGGTGGAAAATCACGTTGGGGCTCGCTTAGCAGCTCATTCATAGACACTTTGATTACAAGGGAACAACAAAATAAAGTTATGGGTTTGAAACTGGGCAATTATTGTATTATTCGAGCTAAGACTCAGATACGACTGAGCCAGAGTGACTGAGACGAAGCCAAAACGCGCAAACGCAGCTCATATTCACATTCTTAGCAGCCCTTGGGTGGAATGCAGGTCGGCCGTTGAAATCAAGGGCGTGGCGTGGGGAGCGATGGCGCTATTGACCGATCTCGATCAATCACCCTTGCTCAAAGCCATGTGGTTGAGCCCACGAGTTGACGGGTACCTGCATAGTAGATGGAGGTTTCTCGTAGTAAGGTGGACCGACCGCGCAGACCACGGCTGTTGCATTCCGTAGGCAATTGTAGTAACTCTGATCTTCTTGATAGACATGACACATATCAGATGGCTGGGAAACATGAAGGCCAACGGCGCCATTATCACAACCAAAGGAGTTCCGCGCCACCAGTGGTAATTGGTCAAGCGCAGGGACGAATGGAAGGGAGAGTACACAATAAGCCAATTGGTGAAGCGAAAAGCTCGAGAAATTCATTTTCGTGTACGTTGAGCACGCGAATGTTGCGTGTTGGCTCCTCGTGCAGGCATGCAAATAGAATTCAATTGAGACATATCTACCCAACGGTGCACGGGAGGTAGATCCAACGATAATAAACGATTCGTGGGTCTCCTGGAACCTGCGACACTCCATTCCTGTTTTCTGACACAGTTGACATGCCACCACCCTTGCGTAAAGCGCGAGTTCATGTGCCAACGTCCTTGGGCATTGATTATGGACATTGAAAGATTAAATAAGAAGCAGAGAAGCTCGCATCTGACAATAATGCTATACTCTACAACTAACCGACTGCATAAGCTCAAGCACGTTTGACAGCGTGGCAGAAACTTCATCATGAGGGCAGTCCTCACCCGTCTAATGGCCCTAACGGCCTTCATAGCCTTCATAGGCTTTATGAACCTCCCAACGGCCCTTGCCCTTCCCAACTTGCAGGAAATAGGGCACAAACTCGGTACCACATCGAGGTGAGATTGGAGAGTACGAGGGTGAATCCGAGCAAGAACGATATTAACATATGCAACGTGAAAAGTGCACCTTCCATACATTCTACGACCAGCGAAACCCCCAAAAGCAACGTCCGCTCACTTAGTTCCCTGTTCAGGTCCCAGAAGGGGGCCATGATGAAACGCGATCCCCAAACCTCCCGCCCTCCATGGTGGTGGCCATATGGCGAGTCTGGGCTGACATATGTGCCCGGCCAAATTGGCGGAGAAGGGCCCACGCAATGGCCAAAAGGAGATCCTGGGCCACAGGGACCAAGAGGTCCCATCGGTCCAACAGGAGCAACTGGTCCCGTCGGCCCGGTTGGACCTCTTGGACCTATTGGCCCGGTTGGCCCGGTTGGCCCTCTTGGTCCCGTTGGTCCCGTTGGTCCTCTTGGCCCGGTCGGACCTACTGGGGCCAACGGTGCGGTGGGCCCGGCCGGACAGAACGGCGCCGTGGGGCCTCAAGGACCAAGAGGCCCTTTCGGCCCTCTCGGCCCTGTTGGACCTATTGGACCTCTCGGCCCTGTTGGACCTATTGGACCTATTGGGCTTACTGGTGCGGATGGCGAAGTCGGCCCAGCTGGTCCATCTGGACCTGTTGGACCTATTGGGCTTACTGGCCCGGCTGGCCCGAATGGCGATGTTGGTCCCCAAGGCCCTATCGGTCAAACTGGCCCGGCTGGCGCAGATGGCACAGATGGTGCAATTGGTCCTCAAGGCCCCATCGGAATAACTGGCAACACTGGTGACACTGGCCCTCAAGGCCCTATTGGGCAGACTGGAGCAACTGGTGACATCGGTCCTCAAGGCCCCATTGGACTGACTGGGCAGACTGGAGCAACTGGTGATATCGGTCCTCAAGGCCCCATCGGACTGACTGGGCAGACTGGAGCAACTGGTGATATCGGTCCCCAAGGCCCCATCGGACTGACTGGGCAGACTGGAGCAACTGGTGATATCGGTCCCCAAGGACCTATTGGGCAGACTGGAGCAGTTGGTGATACAGGTGCCATTGGTCCCCAAGGACCTATTGGTGATACTGGTGCGATCGGTCCCCAAGGACCTATTGGGCAGACTGGAGCAGTTGGTGATACAGGTGCCATTGGTCCCCAGGGACCTATTGGTGATACTGGTGCGATCGGTCCCCAAGGCCCTATTGGTGATACTGGTGCCATTGGTCCCCAAGGACCTATTGGTGATACCGGTGCCATTGGCCCCCAAGGCCCGATTGGTGATACTGGTGCGATCGGTCCTCAGGGCCCTATTGGGCAGACTGGTGGCATTGGTCCCCAAGGCCCTATCGGTGATACTGGTGACACCGGCCCTCAAGGCCCTATTGGGCAAACTGGAGCTACTGGGCAGACTGGTGACATCGGTCCTCAAGGCCCTCAAGGACCTACTGGAGCTACTGGAGCTGATGGACAAACTGGAGCAACTGGACAAACTGGAGCGACTGGTAGCATTGGCCCTCAAGGCCCTCAAGGCCCTGCTGGAGCGACAGGAGCGACAGGAGCAACCGGAGCAACTGGAGCAACTGGAGCAGTAGGAGCCACAGGACCAACTGGTCCGGGCACGTTTGCGTCGACCTGGGACTATGCCGGCTGTTACAGCATCCCCGAAGGGAACTTCGGATTCACCAGCGTCGTGAGTCAACAAATAGAGATTACCTCTATTGACGACTGCGCGAATTTCTGTGGAGCCACTCAGGGCAACGGCTCGCCTACCTTCTACTTTGCGCTTGGATACTTCATCATCAACCCCTGGTGCGCATGTGGAAATGCTCTTGATGGCACAGCCACACTCGTGGCTAATAGCAACTGTAACGCTCCCTGCCAGTTCAGCGTTACCCCCCGCCCTTACTGCGGCTCATTCAGCGGTCAATACGTGTCAATGTTTGCCAGTGTATAGGATGTATCCTGTGTGGGTTATATAGGTATGCTAGAAATACCTCCTGGAGAAGGACGAGTGCAAGCAAGAAGTAGGCCGGCAGCGAATCTATGCGTAACTAGCTATATCTTTCGTCACAAAATTTGAGCCCCATTCTATTCTTTCACTGTCTGAAGTTTGCTGTAATGAATGATTTCTTAAGCCTAGTAGCTTGATATCGTAGGCTGGTTTCTCTTACACAATGATCTTATTAAATGAGGTTCAAACAAAAAAAAAGGTAGAGGCGGTGGAAAGAAAAATACACAGGGGAATGGGACAGTCTACAGGAATACCAACATATATAGGGTGGTTTGAGGCCTATATACTTGCATGATAGATCTAAATCACCTAGCTCCAGAATACGGATGTATCCTTAGGCCTTACTCTTTCGCCGACGAAGGAGAGCACCGCCAGGGCGAGGTCTGCTTGAGATTCTTAGTGAAAGTTGCGTTCGCTATCATAATTCTTCTACTGGCGCTACTCTCTTGATGCGCTCCATTTACTCTATTGTTCTCTTCAAGTCTACTGTCCCTAGCCTGATCTGATCGATTCATACAGCATAAGCAGGTTGCTAGAATGATATTTGCTTTGTATTCTCAATATAGACTACCTAAGCTAAACATTGCTCTTTCAAAATTGTATGGATTTTCCCCGTTCTGGCTCCCTCGATAAACTCCGATCCCTCTTTCGTAGGGGATAGTCACGTTTTCGTGACACTTTACACATGATTAGCAATGGTGATATCTTGATCCATATCCACGTGGGAAAGAGAATGGTGAATTTGCGCCTGGTAAACACTGAAACAACACTCCAATAGCTATTCTCAGCATGATTGATGATGCTATGCAGCAAATATATTTTGCCTAGAAAAGATCTCCCATTGGTAAAAGGTACAGTCGGAAGTAGTCAGGATAGCTAGAAAACTCCTGGAAGGCCTCATTCCATGTAGTCGGATGTGGGTAGATAACATTGGCGATATCGGATCGGCCTACGAATACCGGTCGGCTAGGGATAAGAGCAAGAGATAAGCTCCTCAAGCCGATCGATGGTGGACGCAATGCGACACTACCTTAGCTGATGGTGGGGTTTTTGTTACTCGGCTCTGCCTATGGAATTGATGAGGCAGGATCTTGGCGATCAGCTTATGTCCAAAGTATTCGCCGACTGACGAGGAGGAAGGAGAAATATTCTAATCTGGTCGATTTTCCGAATTAAGTCGTCTGGTTTTTGCCTTTGCTAAACACCAATCGCCCCATAACAACATCAAGGGTCAAGATGGCTCCTAAACCTGATATACTGTTTATCGACTCGAGTGTTCAAAAGATAGACTTTGCCCGCCGAGAAGCGCTTGCAGAGAAATTCAACATTATACAATATGACTGCAAGTCCACCGAGGAGTTCAAAGAGCGCCTGAAGCCTGGGGGGCCTTACTCAAACATCGTTGCTATTTCACGGAATGGCTGGCTCAAAGCTGGACCGCTCGCGAAGCAACTCCCCTTTGGCACAGATGTCATTCCATACTATCCGCCCAGTCTCAAGATTATATGCTGCAGTGGCCATGGGCATGACGCCTCCGATGTGGAGGCGATAACTGCTAGGGGTATCTGGTACTGCAACACTCCAAACGCATGCACGGAAGCCGTGGCGAATACCGGGCTGTTCCTTGTTCTTGATTCATTCCGCTATCTTTCTTTTGCCCAGTGGTGCGCTCGGAATGACTGGCTGCAGAGTCGAGACCTGGGTCAAAAGGCGGTTGATCCCACTGGGAAAACGCTGGGCATTGTCGGGCTTGGGGACATTGGACTGGGCATTGCTCAGAAGTGCGAAGCCGCATTTCAGATGGAAATACGGTATCAAGGGCCTCGAAGGAAGCCACAGGCAGAAGAAACATTGAAGGGCGGAGCAATCTACCATTCATCAGTGGATGAGATGATACCTCACGTCGACTGCATCGTCCTCGCGGCCCCCTATACAAACGATATGCATCATCTTCTGTCAAAGAGGCAGTTTGAACTCGCCAAAAAAGAGGGGATACGTGTTGTGAATGTGGCACGAGGCAAGATGATTGACGACGATGCACTGCTCGAGGCATTGGGGACTGGGCGTGTCGTTGGGGCTGGATTGGATGTGCATACAGATGAGCCAGGCATCAATCCCCAACTGAGGGATAATTGGCGGGTGACGGTTTTGCCACACATTGGAGTGTGCTCAGCCACAAGCTGGGAGAATTTTGAGAAGATTAATCTGGACAACATTGAGGCTTACTTTACGAGCGGCGAGCCAATAACGCCGGTAAACAATATCAAGAATTAGAGGACTCTTTCACATTTAGGTTCCAGAAAAATAGATATTTTCAGAACGTTAATAATGTCATACCCGAAAAATCCTACATTTGGTTTTTAAGCCCCAATCAATCATGCGGTGCATTTCATACGGTGACAATCCGAAAGACCAGCGTAGCGGCCGATTTACACGAGCCTTGGCCAACAGAATGGCTAGATTATTATTACTGAGATCCACGAGTAGATACATATGCGCACGCGCAGGGATGGGATGAAAGCTACGGATCGGTCGGCCCATCGAGTCGGCAACGGCAACTCTCAACCGGCTATTCGATGCGATATAATGCCGAATTCGAGTTCGAGTCCCCAGCATGCCTTTTGTCCCGACTTCAGTTTTGATGCTACTCACGTTAGTCTTCTATATCTTCAAAAATTATTCGAGAGGCAGTTAGGCTCATATATATTTACCTCGGCTTACTTACCTCGCCACTTGAAAATGCGTAAGTCTCAAAGGGAGGTATTTGCCTAAATCGATTACTCACAGCAATACCTCCATATAGCTTCGTTCCTTGTTGTTGGCGCCGGTGTGATCGGCTTATCCACCGCGCTCGAGCTCCGGGCCCGGTATCCTGGATCAGAGATTGTTATCGCGGCCAAATACCTCCCAGGCGATTCTGCCCCGGACTACACATCGGCATGGGGAGGTGCAAACTGGTTTGCGGCAGCTCGGGACAACGGCCCGCAGGAAGACTGGGAGGCCATCGGCTACCGAAAGCTCAAGGAGCTTGCATCAACGCGACCAGAGTCAGGCGTTCAGCCCATGAACATTCGATGGCATTACGAGCGCCCGATCGATGAGGTTGGTATCAAGACTCCGGAAACGGGGAAGCTTTGGTTTGAAGAGCTCGTGGGGGGCCTGACCAAGATTGATGAGAAGGACCTTCCTGAGGGCACAAGCTTTGGATTTGAAATGGCTAGTTTTGTCATCAATGTCCAGAGATATCTCCCGTGGTATGTTATATAAAAACTACCAGTGGTCATTGTCGCTGATGTTTCTAGGTTACAAACTGAGGCGGAGAGGAGAGGGATCTACATCCATAGACGTATCTTTGGACATATCCAAGAGGCCCTGGACCTATACCCTCAAGCCAATGCGGTCTTCAATTGTACAGGCATTGGAGCTCTAACCCTAGGTGGAGTTGAAGATGAGAAGATATTCTCCGCGAGGGTAACTCTTGAGCTATATTTGGAAATCCTAGAAGTTGAATTTACTTACCGAGAGATTTCTTTAGGGACAAATCATGCTGGTCCAAGGACCTGAGAAGCCGATCGAAAAAATGTACTTCCGTGCTCCTCACCGTGATGGCGAAGCAACTCACATATTTCCACGTGGAGAACGTGGAGGTGTTATCCTCGGAGGCTGCCGACAGAAAGATAGCTGGGATGCGGAAACCGACATGAAGTTCGCAGAAGTCATCAAGAGACGATGCTGTGCTCTTGTTCCTCAGCTGGGCAAGCCTGAAGACCTGAAAATAGTTAAACACGGTGTTGGATTCCGACGTAAGATGAAAAAAATTCCTTCCTTCCATCGATATCTCTCATTTTGCTTCGAAAGAAATCTAACATTATGGCAGCGGGACGAGAAGGCGGCGCTCGTATCGCACCTGAGACGATCAATGGCAGGCTTGTCATCCACAACTACGGCGCAGGAGGAACTGGGTTTCAGGCAGGCTGGTTCGTTTGCCACGGATCAGAATCTTTTTTTAGTTTTATGCTAATATTGAATTTAGGGGAATGGCACGATATGCCGTGGATCTGCTATTGGACCGCGCAAGGATATAATTAAGTGAAGCCCGACAAGCGTGGTAGAAAGGAGCTTTATTTAAATAACCAGAGTCGAAATATCAGAGTCAGGAAAAGTACAATCTTTTCGTTTGAGAAAGAAAGGAGATCATAGATAGATAATGTTGATGCTTCGAGAGAATGGCCCTCACAAAAAGCCTTCTCCTACCTTTGGACTTTGATGAATTGATGCAACGATATCGTTCAATGCACGGTCTGGATCGTTGTTCCATTGAGTATAAGGTCGTGGATGGAGGATTTCTCTTAGCAATGCGTCACTGTGTCCTTTACGAGTGTCGTTGACTGGCCCCTGGCTATCTGGACTTAGGCGACGGCTAACTGTTGCCGTGCCGATATGAAGCCACAAGCCGATTGCACGAAGGCCGGTGAACCTATGCCGATCGGTGATACCGGCAAAGACGTAGATATTATTTCTAATCCAGAGACCCTCATGCTGTAAAAGCCACCTAATACAGAATACGTGCCATTTGGAACTGGAACAGCATATTGAATAGGGGCTTCGCACAACATGGGTCCAAAACCGAGAATAATCACCGTGGCAGCTGCACAGCTAGGGCCCGTCAAGAGTCTCGACACGCCCCGACTAGAGACACTCGGTCGTATGATCACCCTGCTTGACGAAGCTGCTAAAGCTGGCGTGAGACTGGTTGTGTACCCCGAGCTTGCATTCACCACATTCTTCCCCTCGCATATCATTGAAGATCCGGACAAGCTCGCTGCTTATTTTGAGCCCACTTCACAGGCAGAGCCTTATGCAGTCATCAACTCGCCCAACGTCAAGCCCTTGATTGATAGGGCTAATGAGCTTGGCGTCGATATCAGCTTTGGATTTGGGGAGCGTTTCACCTCTGAAGATGGCAGAGTGAATGATTTCAATTCCGCAATTTACTACTCTGCGACCCAAAAGAGGGGAATTGCGAAGTATAGAAAGGTTCATCTGCCAGGTCGCGTCGACATCGATACTCGACCAAATGTCATTCAACAGCTCGAGAAGCGCTATTTCACACCAGGCGACCTTGGCTTCCAGGCATTTCGGGTACCTGATCTAGTTGACGGCGCGTTGAAGGCAGCAGATGCTGCTTCTGAACAGGACCTAGAAGGAAAGGGAGACCCTATTGTCGGCATGCTCATCTGCAATGACCGTCGCTGGGCTGAGGGATGGAGATGCTACGGGCTTCAAGGAATAGAAATCTTACTGGTAAGTCCCGAACCCTAAACCTTGTCGACTTGCCCTGAGCCCCAGGATAAATACCTAACGGGATGCATCTTCCCATAGGAGGGCTATAATACCACGGCTTATGCGCCTCAATATGATGGAGACGAAGAAGAGCAAGAGGCTGAGGCCCTCTTCCACCATCGTCTGTCGTGCCAGAGCGGCAGCTACACCAACGCGTGCTATAGTATCAACGTGGCCAAGGCTGGCTGGGAGGACCATGGAAAGATGATTGCCGGGTCTAGCATTATTGACCCAAACGGGCACATCATCGCAGAATCGAAATCATATGAAGATGAGCTGGTCATTGCAACCATTGATCTGGCCAAGTGCAGGAAAGGAAAAGAGAGAGTATTTGCCTTTGGAAAACATAGGAGGGTTGAGCATTATTCGCTCCTTTCGGAACAAGCTGGCGTGAAAGAGCCACCTCTGCTTAGCTAGTAAGCCTTAGCTACACTGTTCCGTTAGAAAATATGAGACCAATATTCGATCGAACAAGAGGTATGACGTGGTTTCCCAGTGTTGTATTGCAATTCAGTATTGTCGGCGGAAAATGTCCGCATCCAACCCACTCATGGCGCACCGGCGATTTTGCGCCGAGATGAATTGCGGTTCTTTCCAACCCCGAATCGGTGAGAGATTTGAATCAGAAGGCCCAGATACTTATATAAACACACTCATGCTTCGTAAGATCCCAATTCCAGCCAGTTTCAGTCACATCTCCCAAGTCATTCATCAAGATTGCGGTTCAGCTCAAGGATCAAGCCAATATGGGACCAACAGCCGGATCAGAGGCCAACTTCCTCACAGCCCAAGCCCAAGAGCTTCGCCTCTCTGCTACTCTCGAGATCAATGAGCTCGTTAGAAAGCAGCTTGACATGGGTAAGCCGGTGGTTCACCTCGGATTCGGAGAAGCTACCTTCCCCATCCCCAAGAGTGTGCGAGCTGCGCACGAAGAGGCCAGCGGAAACACTAGCTACTTGCCTGTGGCTGGCCTTTGGAAGCTTCGAGAGGTATGTAGCACACTATTAAGGATTTGAGTTATTTTCTTACCAATCCATGAGGCTAATGAAAATGCATCTGTAGTCTGTTGCCAGATTTCAGACTCGTCGACTGGGCTTTACCGTTGGCCCAGAGCAGGTTGTTATCGCACCTGGCTCGAAGCCGTTGCTTTTCGCCCTTTTCGACATTCTCAGTGGAGATGTATTACTCCCTCGCCCGTCCTGGGTCAGCTATGAGCCCCAAGTGAAGCACGCTGGGAAGCAACTCTTTTGGGTTGAGACAGACGAAGAAGACCGCCACACGATCACAGGTGAGTTACACCACAAGCCCTGAAGACGCATGTAATTATTGACTTGATACTTGACATACGAAGGCCCATCTCTAAATTCCGCATACGACCAGGCTATCTCGGAGGGTAGCGACCCCCGAATCATGCTCATCAACTCGCCCTCGAATCCAACTGGACAAGCTTTTTCAGAACCGACTCTAGAAACAATTACATCTTTCTGTAAAGAAAAGAAGATCACATTGATCAGCGATGAAATATACTCTGATATTTGTTATGCTGAAAATTATTCGACCACCTCGTGTACTGAGGACAACTTCAACGCGGGCCAAATGGTCCTCACTGGTGGCCTGTCCAAGGTAAGTCATAGCCTTAGCACTGTTCAAGTTTCTCCGTAAGGCTTTTCTGACATCCTGATCCAGACTTACTCCGCTGGTGGTTGGCGTGTCGGGTTTGCAATCTTCCCTCCTAACACGTTTGGCACGACTTTGCAGAAAGCGATACTGGCCTATGCTTCTGAATGTTGGTCTGCCGCCTCGGCCCCTGCTCAAGAAGCTGCGGCCGTCGCCTTTGACACCACTCCGGAGATGGATGCTTATCGCTCCCAGCTTACTCACCTACACAAGCATTGCACACTCAAATTGTATGAAGCACTGAAGAATTGCGGACTTGCCGTGGCAGCACCAAAGGGTGCCTTTTACTTATACCCATCCTTCTATCCATATAGCAAGCAGCTGGAGTCACTGGGTATTTATACGAGCCGTCAATTGTCCCGCTGGCTCATTGAGGAGTGTGGTGTGGCAGCGTTGCCAGGGTCGGTATTTGGAGAAGATGACGAAGGTGTCCGGGGCGGTCGCTATCGTTTGAGAATGGCAACTAGCTATCTCTATTTCAAGGACCAAGAAGAACGATACACTCGCGGATACGAGCTATTGTCTCAAGCATTGGATGGGGGAGCCAATGCCACGATTGAGCTGCCATTACTTGAAAAGGCCATAGTGGCGATAGAGAATACCGTGGCAAAGCTCAACAACATGTAATGTTTTCTCGCTCTCTTCCAATCGAGAAATTCACGGGACACTTTGCAATAGAAGACATTATATTGATGCGAAAATCATCACGTATTGAAGGGTCCAGTATCTGGTTCTGTGGTACAATCTGCTCAAGTCCTTCTTAGATTTTGGTCCCAAGCTTGAACGTTTTCATTATTCCGTGAGTCTTGCGGGAAAATATCCCAGAAAGACTGAGACCCGGAAATGCCTAGAATCTGCCCAAAAGGGTCCATATTCTCCCAAGGGTCGCTCATTCCGAGGTCGAAGAAGGATGAGGCGAAAGGTAATGAGCCAACTGGTTGTGAATCATCATTCCCAGAACTCTCTCCTAAGGAATGCGTTGTGTCGGATCTGCCTGTGGTGGGAAAGGCGAGCCCGGTAGAAATCGTTCTTTGAATACTGTCCGCAAGAACCTCGAATTGAGAATCTAGCTTGAATAGAAGATCATCGTTCCACCGTTCGTTCATTATTGCCAGACATACGGAGCACTTTCGAGTCCATGCGGGAAAGTCAACCAGAAGAAGAGAGTGACCCGAATTTGAGGATATTTGGGAATAGCTTGTTCGGGCGCTTACTGCCATAGTGAGACCAGCGAATAACACACCCTGCACAAGCATCCACGAGAGGGGGACATTGCTGGTCCGTAAGATCTCAAGAATATTGTCTATGTAAGCACCTGAGGATCGAATACAGCGCTCTAATGATGTGGTTGAAGGGTTCGGGCAAAGTGGGCTCCTTCTATGAAGCACAAACGAAGTACCATGGTAAAGCCTGTCCCAGTAGCTATTGAGTAGATAATTAGAACGTAGGTAAGAAATTTTCATGATCATGTAGAGCCTCAAATACCTAAATGGGTACGCCGACTGTGGATTTTCCGAGCACAAGACTGTCATTGAAACTCTCCAGTTGTCGAGCTCCGACTGCAAATTTGCTATCAGGTCTTGCTGTAGCTGAGGAGATTGGCCTCGTGTGCCAGAGGCACTGGAATAAACCTTGGATATGATCCGGCTTTGTATTTGGCGATGAGTAATATATTGGATCGCAAATGCTGTCTGTGTTGAATACAAGGGCAGGTCCGCCGTGATGTGTTCTTCGCTGATAGAAGGAGGCCGTCCAAGATTATAACAAAGACTTATCTCAATTGAATAAGCTGTCCAAAATATCCGATTCTTCCAATCCATATCTTCCTCAGATACACTCCAGTCTTTGGGTTTATTGTGCAACCCTATTTCAATGGCCGTCTGTTACGTTAGCTTTGGTTCCATGCTTGTGATTCGAAGGTGAAGATACGCCACTCACTCGCATCGCTAAGCCAGCCATCGGCCACTGGCTGGACTCGATCGGACCATATGAGCTATAAATACAAACAAGAAGTAGTATTTGAATGAACATGGGGCTGGAGTGGAACTCTTTTCCTAGAGTACTAAAGTATTGCAATGCCATGGCGTAGAGCTGAGTCGAGGAGGGCACTGATAGAGAAGTATCCTGGAAGCCTCCTCTAGCTTGATTCGCTCCGAGCTGCTTGCAAGTGCTCATATGGTTGGCCGCTCCTAGAGCCATGGCCAAATAAAACACAGTCATCTCGCTACAGCTCTCTGGGCTCTGCACCAACTCCGAGAGGGGTGCATTTTGCAGTTTACCGCATCGGTCTGCAAGACTAGCAAGAGCCTCGTGACTCAATAAAGGATATAGAGGCTGCACCCACATCTCATAGGACTTTTGAAGCAAGGCGATGATATCCGGTTGGAGAGGTAGCCGGTCATCTATGAAATGTGCCTGGGCCTGATTTGGGCCTCCTACCCTACGAGGGCGGAGAGCAGCTGGCAGTACAGGCTCGCATGATTGTAATAGTGCTGTGGCATAACTTGCGAAGAAAGCTCCGCTGGATGGTCCCAGATATCTCTGCTCACCAGTAGCATTCAGGGCCAGCAGGCTGATATCGGGTGCTTCGCTTCTTGCTGGAGAACTATCCCCCACGCCAGCTAAGTTATGGGATTCCATTGGCGAAACAGTAGGGCGCTCAAGGCTTCTATTTACTAAGCCAACGTGAGATTCAAGGGGTGATGGCTCCGGGGCAGGGTCCGGAAGTGCTCCATTCACTTGCCGAGCAGGCCTTCGTGTGGATGTCCCTGTAGGAAGGCTGCTACAATCCATACCGACCTCCCGAGAGAGCTCTTTCTCGAGCCATGCTACTCTCTTTTCGGTGTCCCTAAGGACTCTGGTATGAATGAGAGACTGGAGGGAATATGCGTAGGAGTAGAATCACAGCTCACCGCATGGTCTCTGCTTTTCTAAGCCTGGTATATGGCTCGCATTGGACAGATGCTTCGGTGCATTTCAAGCAGTTTGGATAACCGGTGCACTAGGCAGTGTAAGCAACCAGCTTAGATTCGCCGAACCAGGGCCAGCGGCGAGAATGATGCTTCTGACCTTGACCTTCTTCCTGTGGCATCGCACACACGCTCGGACTGCGGCATCAGCCATGACTTGGGAGTAATCCTCGAGTAATGAATGGGCAGCAATGATGTAGATGTGTGGCGGTGAGCGGCAGTTCAACATAACTCAGAAAGCACGAGAGATCTGAGATCGCCATGGCAATGAATGAATGAGCAGAAGCAGCGAGAGTCAATTTCGCCCGACTTCGGAATATTGTGGGGAGGAATCTGTCTCATCGGCGATTTTTCGCCGAGCCACTTACCATCAGCTCTCACCTTCACCTTTTTCTCTATACCACACTACATTTATAGTTGCACCTCCTATGATATGCCCAAGTCCTGTTGAAAGTCATAGATAGCAGATAAATCCTTCAGGTTAGCATGACGTTTAAACTGTATCGATCAGGCAGATTACTCCGCAAACGTCTCACTAGGTTTATGCCAGTATTCAAAGAGAGTGTCGCTTGTGGAACGAAACAGTGGCTCGATCTCAAATGACTAGGATAGCATATGAAATGCTGAGCATTGTCTTCAATTTATTTTATGTTAGATACCAGTTTTCCAACAGCCCAGGCTATCCATCCTTTCTTGCTGGTTTTAGGAGAGTGTCTTCCTTCACACCAATTTGCCACTTAGAAGCTATAAAGTGGATGCAAAAGCTAGGCTAAGAGTAGAATAGTTTTCCGAACGAGCCAATTACGATTGTCACAGCTGTTCTACCCATGTCCTCGTTACCCCAGTGCTCCATTGTTCAAGTGGGCTTCCTGACGCACTGGCTCGATATGCAGCCAGTTGGGCCAAATAACTTTTTCTGAATTAAGAAAATGAACCAGTCAAGTCGAGATAGTGATTTCAAATCAAAGGAGAGAGAGAAAAGACATGATTTATCAGCAAGTTGAACGGCGCTTCTTCTTTCACAAATTGGCGTACTGGAGGTCAATCTTGGCTCTATAAATACGGCCTTCCTCAAGCTTTCCGTGTGAGAATGTAAACCAATTCTTTATATGAAATCTGATTTCAACCTTTGAGTATCGATATAATCAACATGCATACATCAAACGGACTTCAAGTCATTTTCGGGGCGGCTGGCATTGGTCCCGAGGCATTCCGTGATGTTGCGAGAGAACAGCTGGATGTTCTGTTGGACGAAGATATCACGGCGCTGGATACTTCTGAGATGTACGCAGGGTGTGAGGATGAGCTTGCATATTTACAGGCTACAAAGAAATTCGAGATTCATGCCAAGGTCGCTGGAGGTGCCAGTCCTGGAAGACAGCATGATGCAATTATCGAAGCTGGCCAAGAACGCCTTCGAAAGCTGAACGTGGACCAAGTTAGTGCTATATCCGCCTCTTTTACTCATCCGAGACTGGCTATTACTGACACCCATTACGTATAAGGTCGAAATCTTCTATCTTCATGCGCCTGACAATTCGGTGCCTGTGTCTGACCAAGTCAAAGCATACGATGCCTTGTACAAGCAGGGCGCCTTCAAGCATCTCGGTCTCTGCAATTTCACACCCGAGGAGTTGGAAGCGTTTTACAACGCTGCCAAGTCGAACAATTGTGTCCTTCCAACCGTCTACCAAGGCTCGTACAGTGCCGTTAGTCGTGTTGCCGAGAGGGAGCTCATTCCCCTACTTCGCAAGTTGGGAATCCGCTACGTTGCATATGGGCCGATCAGTGGCGGCCTGCTTGCAAAGTCTAGAGAGGAGCTTCTCAGGGGGACCGGGCGGTTTGACCCCAATAATTTCGTTGGGACGGTCTATAATGCCCTCTTCAACAAACCTTCGTACCTAAAAGCCCTGGATGCGTGGGGCGAAATTGCTGAGCAGGCGGCAATTTCGAGGGTTGAACTGGCATATCGATGGACCATTTTCCACTCTGAACTTAGTGGTGAGCATGGCGATGGGATCATCTTCAGCGCGAGCAGTGTTGCTCAGTTGAAGAACACCATTAAGTTCTTCAAGGGAGGACCACTTGAAAACGACATCGTCAAGCGGGCTGATGCCGTTTGGAAGATTGTAGAGCCCGAGGCCGCTCTGGACAACTGGCATGGATATTTGAAGGGGCTATTCTAAATCTTCCGATGTTTAGTAAGATTTCTAAGTATCTTCTTCTACAAAACTGCATTCCACTTAAGTTAGATCCAGCACGTGGACCAAAATTGTTCTGTGTTGGGGAGTTGTTCTCTGGTGGCTAACCTCATTGCATCTATGGAGTTGTGTCCATGTCTGTCCCTACAACAGAATAATAGCCTTGATAAAATGATTGAACTACAGCAAATAGCACAGAGAAGCAAAAAGTAGTATTAGTGGCGTGAATATTTGATTAAAGACGCGTAAGTTGGATTTATGACATGGGATAACTTTCATACCGATCACCGACTGGTTGTTCGCGAATCCAATCGTATTTGGCTCATGATATTAATATTATATGGCGAAAATATAGATGGATAAGAGAAGAAACTGAGGAATCTTCTAAATAGCCAACCTTCATAAAAGATCAAAGAAGGATTGCTAGCTTGGTTTGTATTTCCTCCTTCCACCAGCAGGAAGCTTAAAATAACAGACACTATATCCGTTAGGAATTCAGTCCGCCGATACGCTTCACATAAAATATCTACAACTAAAACATAGAACGAACATAGGTCGAAACGCGACTGGCCAGTGTTTGATCCGAATCATTCGAGTCGAACGTTCTGCCAGACTCGCTAGAGCGTCGGCTCTGGTTTCTCATGTCGTCGACGAATTTGGGCCAGGTGTTGGTTAGAACTAGGTACTTGATGTGACTGCATGTGCTATCGAAAACAAGACCATCGAATCCAGGTGGTATTTCTCCAGTGTACTTGGCTCGCAGGATCGGAGTGGTGGAGTTGCCTCCTGAAGAGCATCCACCGCTTGAGCCAGGAGGCTGAGGCTGCTCAATGTCGAAAGGCGTCGCGGTGATTACCACTGGCTCACCGCATAGGATGCGAGTAGGTGCCTCGAATATATCCTCAAGCCGCCTGAGCTCTGGCCCCGACAGATTGAGGGGAAACTCGGCGTCTCGCGGGCTAATGAAATCCGTGTAGAGCTGAAGAGCAGCATTGTAAGCATCCAGTTCTTTCTCTCCTCGGAAACCACCAGAGAAGGTATTCTTCCACGTAGCAGCCCGAGTTAAAAAGGCGATATTCTCTCCAGAAAAGTCGCTAAGAGCCGAGAAATTCTGCAGCGGGGTGGGATTCTCCCTGAGGACGTAGTCGAGAGCGCCGATCGTGTAGAGGTGGTCACTCATCTCGTTAATAAGGAGGTTGTCCATGATATCGCTCTTGCCCCGACTTGATGTTGACCCCTTGCGCTCTTGATCAGATGACTGGGAAGAGCCGAACATGGTGATCTGGGAAGATGATTCCCATTTCTGGTTTGAGGCCGCCACCTTTCGGCATTGGATGTTCAACTTGATGACCTGGAACACGGGGACAAAAACAGTGAAGATCTCGAACATCATGACTGATAGATGGATCCTACAAGATGTCAGCGCGACCATCCGAGCCAAGGTTTTTGTATATCTGGGTTGGGAGACTCTTACCATTGACTGGGAGGAAAGTACATGTTGACCGGTTCAAAGGCAGGGACATATTGTGCGATCAGAAACATAGGCGTGGCGTGAAGGCTAACCCATGGTCGGTCAGTGTGAGATCCTTACACGGGCCGTATCAGGAACGTACTTGGAGATACAACAACCAATGGTCTGTGCCCTCCAACCCATGGTATCGCGAATTCCCCAAGCGTGCCAGATCAGATAAGGTGCCACCTGGGGAGATGATTAGTACAAATGAATCCAAAAGGGACACGACAGGCCACATACCATCCATGTCCAGATGACCTGCCAAACGACTGAAGGCCACCATTCCCAACCTCTACCCAAGTCGATCATTTGTTCCACTAGTGTTGCGCCTCGGATCTCGGTCCCCGGAATGCCGAATGTAGGATGATATTTGCGGCAGGCAAGCCACATGCCGATGGCCAGAAGAACCTGAGATTCGATCAGCACGGTATGTCGTTTTAAGATTATTCAGTAGAGCAGCATACCTGCGCGACCATACCGAGGCCAATGAAAGACATGATTCTGACTGTGTAGCTCATGTTCCTGAAACGGCAAAGCCACGATGTCCCCCCGCCGTTGCATCGTACTTGAATTCGGTGATTATTAGTGAACTGCTTTTGTAACTTGGCTACGTATAGAAAGCGGCTATTAGAGGCATGAAATAAGGCAATGCCCAGTGGGAACCAGATGCTCATGAAGAAATACTGAATATCGTAGGCAAGAACGACGGGCATGGTGCCCCCGATGGGGTAGACAAGCTGGGCGAGCACCCAGTACGCATGTAGGAAAAGAATTGCTGTGAAGGAGAGTGGGAGGCCACGGATCTTGAGAACCGGATTATGGCGGTTGAACCAGCAGAATGCCATACCGGCAAAGACGAGGCTGGTCCATATGACGCAGAAGCATATGAAGAAGATCCCGATGTTGTCCCATTTTGGCGGGCTGGGCGGGAGGTTGTAAATAGTGAAGTTTGGAACTGTATCCATGCTGAACAGGTCGATGTTGGGCCGTCAATGAGTGTGAAAGGTTTGAAGGAGTGACGAAGCGTATAGAAAGGGAACGGCGATTTTAAAAAAGAGTGTCTGGATGTCTTAACTTTGTTCTCTTAACGTGAAGAGGGCATGTGGTCAGGATTTGAAAGGCGGATCTGGCCGTTAGATGGAAACCGAATTGATCAAGCGGCGGCCTCACTCGGTGCTTTTGGATTGTCTGTCGCCTCCTTATTCCTTTTTCCTGATCGACGCTGGGGTTGGACCAAGACATGCATGAGCATTTTGGGCTCGCGTCCCAGCTATTGAGACCCTTTGTCTTTCCCCTCATGGGGCCCTGCTACTTTTGCTTCCCCGGTTCCACTCGGCCACTTGGCATTTGCTCCATTTGCTTGCCGCAAAAACAACTAGCTAGTGGCACTAGATCTCGCCTGGGTGCATGGGCAGACTGAAGCTGGGAACGGCACGGTAGATTTGGGCCGGCTGGATGTGAGGCTATTGGTAGAGCTGAGAAGCACTAGCTGAAGATCGACTTGGTCCGTCACGCCTAGACCGGCGTTTACAAGGTAGATCTCAGATTCAGAGACATTCAGTCAACGTGTAGCGCCTCCATTTCCTTACCGGGAGTAGCACTGCTCTTTGACCACAAGCTTGAGTGGATTTGGGCTTGCCTGCCGCTCGTCCCAGCTTCTAGGAATTTGTGGCCGGCAAATGAGCGGTGCTGCCGTTCTCTTGGCAAATGTGACTGAGTGAGCTCGTGACAAAATGGATGTGTAGGGACCAAGACTTGGCTTTGAGGAACTTACACGCGGAAAGGCCCTGCTCCGAGATTCAGGAGTACAGTGCAAAATTGGACGTGATTAATACGTAGTTGGCAATTGATATGCAGACTTCCACCACCGTAGTTAAAGCCTAGCCGATCATGTCGTCAGTCAACCAAACACATGGGCCAACCGTGATTTATCCATGCTGTTAATGTCTCACTATACGCGTAGTTACCACCAGCCACATTGCCAGCGATAGCCGTAGTGCCTTCTTTCAAAGGTCCCCGTGATCGACATGATCCCTGCAGCAATGCCACGATCGAGGCAGGCAAGCTGTTTATTCAAACTCAGATTATGCATTACCACCACAGGACGTACGCCAAGGGAAAAAGCAAAGAAAAATGCACTGAGGTATAGAAATGGAAGAAAAATAAAAGACCACAATTTGCACGAATCAATGCAAGATTTCGCCAACTAGCGTAAATGTAAAGTTTGGAATCGACGCGCTCAGACTAGGAACCCCTATTCTTAGCATACCTTGTTGTTTGGATAACATTCCCAGGGACTGTTGGGCTCATCGGGGCCCAAACAGCTAATCTTTTTTTTCCTCTTGGCGAGAAACACGAGCAGCCGCACGTCCATCTTTTGTGTGGTTACGTATAACATCCATGGGGAAGGCCTTCCTGGTGGACGAAACTTGCACGGATGAGAACTTGCCTTGAGGTAACAAAAGTTTACTTCATGGCATCATGTTTAACCACCCAATTCTATCAACTTAACCACCGCTAGTCGGCCGCTTGATCTATTGTATTAGGCCGATATTGCAAAATAGGATCGGCTACTACTCACCACTAGTCTACAATGTACATCGTCACAACAGGCTAATAGAAGCTCTTCGTGGGGACCTGATCTAGCCGTCTCTCGTCCTGACAGGCGGTAGCGGCAGGCCTGGCCAAGATGTCATGCCTAGTGATAATCAATTCGTATAAAGCGGGCTTGAAGCGTTGACAAACAATCTCTCTCATACTGCTGGCACCGACTAGCGGGATGATTATTAGTGAATCTCCTTCGCTTGTTTCAAAAACCAATTTCATAAGTGTAGGTCCTACGTGCCATACCGACCTACCACAGTAGCCTATTCCAGGCTCTCGGACCTTGCTCTGATTCAAGATGATATTCTTCCCCCTCGGTCCCCTAGAGGTCGTGTCATTGAAATCGGAAAGTGATTCGCTATCTTCGATTTGAGAAAGATGGACCTCCTAAATTTGGTAAGTGATTTTCATACTCGGTATTTCGCAATATATTGTTGTCGGTAGAGCTATTACCTTGAACCGGGCCAACTCGCCTATCCGTATTTCCAAAGTCCTCATACAACCAGCTCACGGATGGGCACCTTTCCGCCCTATTGGGAATGCGTGCTGGGATATGTCCAGGGCCATTGTTTTCCGGATTCACCAATTTAATTGGAAGGTTCACATTGTCGCTCGATCATCGGTTTACTAATGCTTTGTTAAGCCGTCCTATACCCCATGCACCTGGCCAGGAAAATCACGAATTCCTGCATAGCCGAGCCGGTCAAAGAGCCAGCTCACCAGTACATGGGTGAGAGTTACTCTTCAAAGACGCTTTCAGAGGGCGTCTCCGGAATAGTGAATACTCAATCTACGGTATGGTTACGCTCGGTTTCGCTTTCAAGAGTTCATGCCACCTGAAACGCGGGCCGCCGTCTCCTCTATATGACGACATATCGCCGCAGTCCACGGAACCTGCTTCTTTCAGGCATATCGACCGATTCGTAGTTTAGCAAAATGCCTGGTAGTGCAGCAAGTAGCAACGGAAAACAAACATACACCTCATTTAGCGACAAAAACACGCCATCGACCACCGGAGTTCTCTCAAAACAACGCCTGCCAAGTAGGGCACTGCAACACTAACACTCTGAGCGGATATGTATGAACGAGCTCACAGATTTCCCGCCAATGGAGGAGTTCTGACAAGGTAGTATCTTATGTTGCATTCATTCAAAATTCACTGTTATTTGATCGTCTGTGACAAAATGGGCTCGCAATACGATACCACCTAATCCAGAGCGCATCCAGTAAGCCTCTCTCTGCAACTGAAGATGTGTATATATACCCTCAAAGCCTCAATGTATCAAGGAATACACCTCTTCACAATTATTTACAGACATCATACGCCTGTGATCTCATTCAGCTAAAGCTCTTCATTATGCGTTTTCCTGCTGTTCTCGGTCTCCTTTCTGTGGCAGTCGCCCTACCTTCTGCTGTAAACAACGACGCCCCAGTCGATAGTCTTAGCATCGCTGAGCGGGAAGTAGGAGAGGTTATCAACCGCGCCCCCGAGCAATCCGCCCAGGACATCAACATTCTCTTCGAGAGGGCTTTCTTCGATCAAACTGTTGACTGGCCTTCCAGCAGTGTCACGCTTGGCACCATCAGCTTCCAGACCCAGGTCAACAACCTCGGCAGCGACCGCTTCAAGATCTCTTGGTGGAACTCCGATCCCGCCAACGCAGGGCGCAAGATCAAGCTCACCTTCAACGCCGGCGATGGCACGCGCCTCTACGACGTTGTCTCCTCACCCCAGACAAGGGGCAACACCGAAGTCACCAAGCGCGGCACCCAGTTCCGTGCTATATTTGACGAAGAGTAAGAGTGCAATAGCCTCAGTGGGTAAAAGCTATGTTAGGAGACGTGAGCCAGTAAAGTGTGCTTGATGGGTGAGGGGGGTTAGCCAAACTCAGTCTTCAATTAGGTTTTCTTGTTGAACTGAGGATGATTTTCTGGGCTTTTTGCATTTCCTTCTTGAGCTTGACATGCCAGTTCGTTGATTGAGCTCAAGTAGCAAAAGCATGTAAATCCAAACCCAGCAGTATCCTAGATAGTGAAGATATATTCTTTGCACAACCTGAAGATGCCCATCACACGATAGTTTATTGATTCGGGGAAGCCTGCAAAATCGCCGACAAGATCGCACTCACTTCATTTCAGCTCGTCGGCTCCGAGCTGAGGCTATTGAAACATATCACTGAGTGACCCGAGTGGGAAAAGATACCAGTCCAGTAATAAGACAGACTTGCTTACCAGCCCTATACCTACGAGTTGACTCCCCTTGTCCCGATGGTCCTATATATACCTATTTTCCGCCATATATAATGGATTTCTCGGTCTTGATATCTCACGTCAGCCACGAGTTATCAAGGTCTACTCATCGGCTTCGACAGACACTCGCAAATCCGAGGCCACAGAGAAAACAGCACGGGCTCTCTCTTACTAGGGTAATCAGGTTAAAAAGAAAAGGAAAAAAAAAAAAACCCTCGTCTCAAGAAGCCCTATTTTCTAACCAAAGGAAGAAGTAATTAGGCATGCACCCAAAATGTCATACTTCGGACCATACATGGAACCAGGTGAGCTGCCGCCATCCATGACGGATTAAAGAGATATTAAAGGTATGCAGCATCCCCATGTTTTCAGCAGCATGGGATTCTTTTGAGCTGCTAGTTCAAATTCCAGTCATGGATTCGAGGCCACCGTATTGCCCCAGTCGAACTGGGAGATCTTTAAAATGGTCTTGCCATACTTTTGTCTATTGTTATGGAATGTTAGCCGTTCTGTTGCTTTCTGCATCTCCAGAAATGCACATGGCTTACCGAAACCTGGTGATGGCCAGAAGGTTACCAGCGATGATTCTATGATTCTAGAGCCAAAAGACTACCAGCTGTCCGCAGAGAATCCGTAAAAAATGCGTAGAGAATCCACAATGTGCTTCTCTAAAACACATCGATACTCGCCATGAAACTCAGGCTTTTCTCACAGTCGACTTGACGAGCCGCAGCGGTGTATGGGCTGATGCGAGACCTTGGGCGTCAGAGCGAGCAGCACGGTATCAAGATAAATGCCACCGTGCCGTCCGCGGCGTCTCGGATGTCTGATCTCTCGCCCGTGATCAAACGCATCACGAGGCAATAGTTCGGGACTCACCTGGTTGCCAACTTTGTCGTCGCACTGTTCTGTCTCGGGCGAGACCCCAAGGCCATGTCCAAAACTCGGCAAGTCTAGGGAAAAATCACAGAATTGATCAATCATTAGAGAGAATCGATTTAGGGCAAAAGCTTTCTCACTAGAGTCCTGCGGATCACTACTTTGAGACCATTGCTTTGCGGCTCATTCCAGAATAGAAGATACGCGTATTCGCTTCATCAGGATCAGAATGCCAGGCGGTACGGATTTTGCGGCAAAGTGATCCTTCGTGCATATTGCGATGCATTCATTTCCCAGGGATTCAGCCAATGGATCAGGGCAGCGCAGTGTTGAGAATAACACCATCCGGTTTGGAGCTAGCTGGATAATTATCTGCTGGTCCTGATGCAGGCTCGGGGAATTGGTGGCGGACATCGGCTTTGGCGGCGGATTTATCACTCCTTGACCTCATAAGGACGCCATTCCCGTTGCCCGTCCCAGAACTCTGCCTCTCAATCACCACGATTGATCGATCCTCCATCTCCTCCTCGCATCATGTCACAGCTAGTGGGACTGTTGCGCCGGAACTATCGCGCGACGGTGAGCCCGCCCGTCGCGGCAAAGAGCGACCAAGCACTACACTTTGGCATCCTGGGCGCTGCCAACGTCGCGTATGCAAACACTCCAAGCCTGGATGGATCGTGTCCGGGATTCAGGCAGCTAACACCCCTCCCTCTAGGCCATATGCGTTCATCTCCCCCGCCAAGTCGCACCCCGAGGTCATCATCCAAGCTGTCGCAGCACGCGATCGCGCCAAGGCAACAGCCTACGCAGCCAAGCACGGCATCCCCGAAGTCAAGGACAGCTACCAAGCCATCCTCGACGACCCCAAGATCGACTGTGTCTACATCCCTCTCCCCAACGGGCTGCACTACGAGTGGGCGATCAAGGCCCTGCAAGCGGGCAAGCATGTGCTCGTGGAGAAGCCGTCAGTCTCCAATTCCAAGGAGGCCGAGCTGCTGTTCAACTCGCCGCTCCTGAAGCAGCCCGACAGCCCGGTCATCCTCGAGGCATTCCACTACCGCTTCCAGCCCCACTGGCAGCTCTTCCTGACGCTCCTCGATCAGCCCAACATTGAGTCGGCGCACACGTCCGGGTTCGCGCCCTCCATCATCTTCGCCAAGGACGACATCCGGTTCCAGTTCAGCCTGGCGGGCGGCGCGGTCATGGATTTCGGCACGTACGGCATCAGTGCGCTGCGACAGACGTTCGGTGTCGAGCCGGAGGAGTGCATCGAGGCTGACTTCAAGATCATGCCGGGCACAGATGGCAAGATCGAGCAAGGCTGGAAGGTGAGGTGGCGCATGGCGAATGGGGGGACGGCCACTTCCGAGGGCAGTCTCCAGGCCAAGCTAACACAGTTCGGCGCGCCTCCCGTCACCGTCACACACCGGCAGACCAAGGTGGAGGAAGAGGGCTTGCCGTCGGGTCAGGAGAAGTGGGTGACTCGGAAAGTGGTGCTTCTCAATTTCATGGTCGGGACTATCTGGCATCGGATCGACATTGAGGATAGCTTCGAGCTCCGAGAGTCGGAGACCGGCAAGGTAGTCAAGAAGTGGACGGAGAAGACGTCGCGCAAGGCGTATACTTTCAAAGAAGCTGGTCTGGAGGGCCCTGGAGAGGACTGGTGGATCAGCTACAGGCATCAATTGGAGCAGTTTGTCAATCGCGTCAAGGGGAGGGAGACCAGGACGTGGGTAACGGGGGAGGACAGCATTGCGCAGATGAAGATGATTGACATGGCCTACAAGAAGGGCGGCTTGCCCATCCGGCCATCGAGGCAGGCAAGTGGGTGACATTGAAATTGAGACACTCAAACATTAAGCTGCTTATTGTCAAATCTGCGATCGGTATTATCAGATTATTGAGTGCTAATAATACATACCACAGAGACAATATAGCGGATGTTGTTACTTAATTTAATTTTATGCAACTAAAGTTCTCTATTGATTGTAGAAAGTAGTCTGTTTGTAACCAACTCTTCTGTTGGGTGTCTTATTTCTCCCTAAATATTATAGAATAGTCAGTATGGGGATAGGGTATTAGAGGCTATTATCCCCTCCATGATCACTTTGATTCAATAATTATACATCTTATATGATACTAATACTAATCAGACAATCTCGCTGGCAGCTGGCAGTTATCATCACAAAACAATGCCCACTACAACTTCTCGTTCGAGAGTGCAGCTTCATTTGCATTTTCTCGCCTTTCAATAGCGGCAATATCAGCCTTACTGGAACCCGCGATCTCAGAACCTCCCTTATTAGAACCTCCCTTATCAGATGCTCCCTGATTCCCATCTTCCTTCTGTGCCTCGGCGAAGCTTGGGGGAGGCGCCGTCTCATCGGGCGGTACAATCCATGACTGTACCATCTCGCCATCCACTGGTACCGGCTGGGGCGCAGATCCCACTTGCTCATTAAGTCCGACGCTGCAGGCTGGGATCACGAGCACATCTTGAGTTCCGCGGGTGGTGAAGCTCTCCCCAGCTATCTCACACTTCGCCTTCCAAGACAGTCGATGGGTCACTTTGACGTTGAATGTGGTGAATCCTTGTGATGAACTGCTCGGAAGACGAAGTCTTATCACGCCACCAACATCTACCGGCGAAGTATTGCCTATCGCGCAGGGGATCTCAACTGACAGCGGGCGATATCCAAAACCTTGGCTCTGTAGATCCGATTTTTGGCACCAGTGTGCTTCGTGGGGGCGGAATAGACCTTCGCATCTGATGTTGCAATATGTTTCCAACGTCGCTCCGAAGGTTACGAGCTTCGCCTTTTGGGGTACATCCCGGATAAGTTCGGTTGTCGCCGGCCACGAAGGCACGACACGCATGGAGAAGGGTATGGGATAATTGCCGATCTGAAGTAACTTTGGCACACCGACCTCTAGATTGAACGCGAATCTCGGGACCGAAGAGCTTCCAAAAAACTTCTTCATCTTCTCCTTCCTGGACAGTTCCGCACCCTCCATGCCCGGGACCAGACGTTGAGAGGAGACAGATTGCTGATATCTACGGGAGAGCAAGTTGAAATCAGCGATTGGGGGATTGGGGTTGAGGGTCACGACATGAATTGGTGCCACGGCGGTTTCCATGGACCACGAGCCTTTTCGCTGGTATCGGATGGTAGCTTCGATATAGTACTCGACGAAAGCTTCCCTTCGGCTATATAGAGAATTGAAAGAAGCAGGGAGGGCCATCTGGCTGACTGATCCAGAGTCAATGGGGATATATGACTCGCGTGCGTCGTGCTGTTGGGGGAACAGACGTGCATCGATGTTTGTGGGAATTGTGATGGCGAACCCCCATTGTTGCTGCTCGCCAACGCCTTCAGGGATATGCACCGGCCCCTGGAACACCCTCTGGCGTGAATTGAGAAGGGTGAAGCGCCCGCGGTAGGTGTGATTGTTGTTATTCCTTCTCACGACCATTTTAGACTTGGTTCGGCCATGGAGCACGACTTCGATTGTGGCTTCAGGGCAGACCATGGCATTCCTCCGGTAGACAGTCCCAACTACGGCATCTCCGGGGAGGTAGTTGGAGCGTTCGACCTGGACGCCCAGGTTGTGGTTCGATTTTGCATATGTTGACGGCATCTTAGGCAGCGTTTAAAGATATGTGTGGATAGGGAATGAGGCTGGAAAGACGGAAGATAACATAAGAAAAGATGCAATGATACAAACAACGTCATCTTGGGCGATGCGCGTGGCGCAGCAAGAGCCACAATTAGCGCTTTCCATTTTCTGGGGAATGACGATCCTCTTCGCGACTCCTTCTGTTCTATTATTAGGTAGGTAGGTATAGGTACTTATCTATCACTCTTTCATTTATCTTGATTCAAAACTACCTAGGTAGGATGGCCCAGCTTCACCGCGCAACGAGGCTCCAGCCAAGATTGCTTGCCTAATAATCCGTGCTAGCCGCGATCTTTTCAAACTTTTCAAGGGTCTCGCTGAGCTTGGCCACCTTCTGCTTCAGCATGCCGTAACAGTCCGACCCCATCGGCATCCTCAACTGGTCCTGCAGACCCGCAGCCATCCCCGTCCCGGTCACCAACTCGTAAATCCTCTCGATCCCAAGCTGCGGATTGCCAGGCTGGCTCCCGTGTATGCCACCCATGGCGCCGCCAATGTCGAAATATCCCTCCTTCTTCTGTCCCATGTTTCTTCCTTCCGCCGCTGGTTTCAGGAAATCAGTCCTGAAAATGCCCGGCTCCACCAGATGGACTCTGATGCCAAACGGCTGCAGCTCCACGGCCATGCTCTCCGTGAGGCCCTCGACAGCAAACTTGGACGCAGAGTAGACAGGTCCGCCGAGAGCGCCGAGAAGACCGGCCCCGCTGGAGAGCTGAACAATCACCCCGGATCCTTGCTTCCTCATGTGGGGGATCACGGCTCTTGTGAAGTTGTACAGGCCGAAGAAGTTGACGTCGAATTGGTACCGGGCTTCTTGGGAGGATATTTCCTCGACGGCGCCCATGTGGCCAAACCCGGCGTTGTTTACAAGGACGTCGATGCGACCGTGTTTTTGGACGGCACGGTCGATGACGGAGGAGATCTCGGTGTCGGGCGCTGTCATTTCGATCTCCACGAGCTCCGCGGCAGAGTGGTCTTGGAGGGCCTTTGGGAATTTGGAGAGACTTCTTGCCGTGGCGATGACAGTGTCGTTGTTCGCCAGGGCGTGCTGTGCAAGTAGCAGGCCGAAACCCGAATTGGCACCGGTGATGAACCAAACTCGAGGAGCCATGGCGGTGTTTTTCGCTTGGTGGTGATGGGTAGATTGGTGAATACAGAGCCTGAAATGGGGATTATTACTATGGTGATTCTTTGGCTTAGGGATTACAAGCTGAGTTATTGAAACAGAGTCCTTTATTTATCTTGTTCCGACTCTAGAAATTGATGATCAAAAGTTGTCTTTTTCCCGACGATTCTTCTATTTCCCGCTACTGGTCGGGTTTGGCATCTTGAGTGTCATTGCTGACGCATACGTCCACCACGAATCATAGTCTACCATTTCCACCTTTTGTCATGGGTTGGTTAGATATAGTGGGGAGCATGAGGGTTTTCGATCCGAGTCAAGGTGAGCACAGCAGTTGATTAGGTATTAGGATCTATCGCCTGTGTTTAAATGTTTTTATTTCTTGGTAAGAAGTTGGAAAGCTTGGCAACGCAAGAACAAAGGTCCAAATATCAGACATGGCTCCAATACATTAATGATTCGAAGTTATATCGACTAGATTCACTCGAAATTTGAGGAATGTGGCCATTGTCTCTCAAAAAATCCGTTCCCACTTCAACGCCACTCATTCATGGACAACATTATTCCCACACCATCTTGGAGTTTAGTCTCCGGATTCCTGTCTAGACATTGAGCGAGAACTTCTTCTCAAGGGGGATGCAAGCAGGCTTGTGGTTGGCCCACTGCGCTTTCTGGCATTTCTAAATGGTGCAAGTGGTTAGTCTTGATCCGCGCTTTGGATGAACGAGAGAGGACAGACCTGTGAACAATACCAGGCACCACGGCAGCGGGAGCACTTCTTGGGAGCAAATCCAAGATCAACCTCGCTCTTGCCACACGTGAAGCAGCTGGGCGCCTGAAAGTCGCGCGGGGTACCAGCGACATAGTTATCCAAGGCATTGAGGAACTGAACCCGACCTGGCTCACGGAATCCCAGGTCAAAGATGGGCAGGGCAAAGCGATGGTTGCAGTGGATGGTGGGAACCAGCCCGCGGAGGTACTGGATATGCTTGGGCCTGATCTTGGCACCTGCGCGCATCATGAGGGCCCCAGCGATGATGATTTGGTATGGGCCGTCAAAGGTGTTCTTCTTGGCGTGGGCGCGAACTTTTTCGAAGAAGCAGTCTCCGAGACCCGAATCGAGCTGGGCGCGGACTTCAGCGACTGTCTGTTCGAGGATAATCTTGTACTCGTCGGTTTGGTAGAAGATTCGAGCTTCCTGAGGGGCTAGCATGTCGGTTTGGTGGATCATTCTGCTCAGTTGGAGGGGATTGCCCTTGAGAGTTTCGCCCAGATCGCCGGCAACGTCAATGTCATGGTCACTTTCGAAAAGACCTGAGAGGGAATATGGTTAGCAATGATGACAGCTGAGAAATCGGCATGCGGATTGTCGACGAGCTTACGGTGACCCCAGCGACCCATGATGGAGGTGTTTAGAGAGGATGGTGGAGGAGAGATCTGCAGTGGTGTTTCTGCAGCTGGACAGATGATGGCAGATTATTTAAGGACGGACAAAGATGGTCTGCAGAGCATTTGGATCTTTGGGCAGAGGAATGTAGGAGAAAAGAGAGACAGGCAGAATTGAAGGAAGGAAGGATGGATGGAGGTAAGTTTGGCGAGCAGCCTCAGGCAGACATTCACTCCGGTGGTCGCACAGGTACCTTCAGGTACAGGCACAACACTCGCGCTGTTTGACGGTAATGTGAGCAGTCGAGATACATCGAAGTACTCCAGAGATGCTGAAGTTGGCACGACTCAAAGTCCAGCATGTTTGACGGTCTGGTGACCTTGTTTCAAAGTTCCAGCTCCGGACGACCGTCATCGATCCTTCCGAGAATTTCAGGAGTCCCAAATGCGAATTCAGACTACAAACTCTTTATCTCCTGGTTTATTAGACTGCCTAAAGCATGCAGTGGTCTTCATAACTCTTCATCTGAATTCTCTACGCTCCTTCACGCACAAACCCGCCATCTTCAAGCCAATAGAGAACAAGGCCGCGGAAGAACAAAAATATTGAACGAGTTATTATCACCGTGGGCTTTGAAACGAGGCAGAACTCAGATTTAGCATCCAAATACGTGAGGCTCGAAGCCGCATTGTATCGGCCGGCTGTATGTGAACTCTCTGGGATGTCCAGATCAGGGCCCAGGAGAATGAAGACTTTCGCAAGCCGGCAAGATAACCAAAACCCCAGCCCTCTTCAGCCAGCGATTTTGTCATACTAAAGCCTGGATTCTTCAAAAAAAAAAATGCAACCGTTCCTTTGAAGCGATATAATAAGCGCTGAATTTCCGACGACAAGTGAGCTTCGGGGGCTCAAGCCACTCTTTTTCCTTCGTATGCGAGTTTACATTCGTTGCCGACGATCTGGAATGAATACCCTTAGTTACTCATAGAGTTATTTATACTTAGTAGGTTCAGTGACATATAAGTCCCAAAAAAGCATTCAACTACGACGTCGTTTTTCCTAGTTTCACTAATCATAAGCTTAGGCAAGGACACAGTTTCAGTATAGATATACATTAAGCTATGATAATCTCTCTTTCCACATCTTCTATCTTGGTTTTAATGAATCTTCCTCATTCTCTCTCGTTGTTCCTTATTTTATTTTATCTGTGGCTTTCCTCTTGCCATTATTTACGTTCTACTATATATGTTAACTGCTTCAAGCAGACATGCTCTTCAATTGCGGCCAGCAATCTACCCATTTGACTCGGCTCTAGATATGAGGCGTGGAAAGTTGTCATGAACTGGATCAAGAAGTTCAACACAACACACTTTAGAGCCTCTACCGAGTAAGAAACATCCTGAAAGAGCACCATATATGCCTAATACGTAACTGATGTGCCGTCTTAGTATTGCTTGTTTGATGTTCGCTACTAAAGCCGCTTTTTGCTTACGAGTATCATGGGTCCAAGCACTATAGTCCTCGTGACGAGTTACTTTCCTCTGGATAGCCGACCAATAGAGTGATGATTTAATATGGCTGATGGCTTGTGAGGGTCATTTGCTGATATGCCTGATGATGATGATGCTGCTGATGATGCTGCTGATGATGATGATAAGATTGCTTTATGCTGGTCTGTCGTCTACGCAGGGATTATCGCTATTATTTATCTCCGCGTGCTGACATCAAACTTGATAAGCGGATCCGCTGACAAACGTTACATTAGCAACTTCACCGCATCGAATTTTCCCGCTGGATTGGCCTTTTCCCACCTGACGGCGGCCGAACTCACAATTTACCTCCGCAACGTTGAGTGATAAGGGATGATCGCTGGAAGATACTCCAACCATGGATTCCAGGTCTCCTATTCGTCGACGACAACTTCGGGGCAGAACTGCGACAGCTTGCTTGGAGTGCCAACGGAGGAAGAAGAAATGTAACCGTCAATGGCCGTGCGATCATTGTCAAAATCGAAAAATCTCTCACCTATGCGAGTTTGGACCACCCAGGGGGGCAAGGTACGCCATTGACTGAGTAGTAGTGACGAGTTGATGCGTGTTTCAGTTCAGATCCTAATGTTCACCTTAAGTAGACAGCCGGTGGAGTCAGAAGCAAGCTCAATGAACGATTCTCAACAAGGAATCGAGGCTCCGGTATCTGAGATCCAGAGCCCTTTGTCTCTGGAAGATTGCTGCTTGGCAGTAAATGAGTTGTCATATGTGGATAGCGATGTTTTCAAAGTGCTTCAGGCAAGTACTGCAATTTTTTGCTCCATATGCCCTCTCAACGAGCTGAAATTAACGCTGAGAGCAAGATCCAACCCACTACTAAGCCGACGAAACCGCTATCAGTTCCAAGCCATGTTTTGCAGGCTCTCAGAACTGTTCCCCCGCGCCCGTATACCGACGCTTTGGTGCAAAACTTCTTTAATCTTGTTAATTTCCACTATTGTATTCTCCACCAACCGCATTTCATGACCCAGTACACGAAATGGTGGTCGACAAGACCCGAGCTAAGAAGTTCGCCTGGCTGGTCTGACATTTCTTTCACCTGCCTGGTTCTCCGAATATGCAGTAATTCGACCCAATTTCTTACGCCTTCCGATATTCATCGGTTTGAATCCGAGCTTGGAGAGCCTGTGTCGGTTTTGGGAGCGAATTACAACACCGCGGCCCATACCCTGAGCAATTACCTGCCTTCTGGGAGTGGGGGGTTGGCAAATGCACAACAACTCTTCCTAGCAGCTACTTGGTCTAAAGCAGAAGGTGACTTTGTCTCTTCGTGGCATCAACTAGCTGCTGCTGTAAGACATGCTCAAGAAATAGGTTTGTGATGGATAATTTTCAAATATTCCAGTCAAGAAAAAATATTGACAATTTTTGGACAGGTATTCATAATGACTCATCGTCAGAAGAGATGACAGGGTTGGAGAGAGAGCTTCGCAGACGACTCTGGTGTGCTCTGTGGACCTGGGATAGGTAAGTAGGGTCTCGCAACTGAGTTCATCAGTCGATGGCACTGGTGCAGGATTAATCCGTACTTCACAGATTCATGGTCGGTATTTTCAATCGGGCCCCAATTATCCAATCAAGCGAACCTATCCCCTTACCCAACCCAAAGTTGGATCAGACGCCAGACGACCCAGAGATACCGTCAGTTGTGTTGGCTAAGGTGCTTGAAAATCAGCTCACTAGCCAACTTTACGATGATAGCCAGAAGGATGCTGACTTGGACACCAAACTAGCCTTGGTCGAGGACTTTATGGATGGACTTCCCAGCGTCTTCCGGCTTGAAGGCGCCGACGTACGATGGGATACAAACCATCCCAGACTCATCGTCCAGCGCCTACAATTACACACAGCTTGCTATATGGCTCAGATGATACTGCTCAGACCAACGGTTCTGGATGTTGAAATATGTGACCCGGACAGGCTCTCTAATATAATCGACATTAGTTTGAAGTGTATGGAAGTCAGCCGAAAATTATTCGATGTTTGCGTCCCACAGCACGCAAAATACTTTATGATTACATTCGCCCCTTTTGACAATGCATCGTTTCTTTCTTCTGTTATCATCAAGGCCGGGAAGAAACGTCAGGTGCCCAGACGGTCAGAGATTATAGCTGCAATTGGGCAAGCACTCTTTATGTGCAATAAGCTACGCGAATTTACAAAGCTAGGGGCCACAACATGGACAATTCTCATGGCCTTGGCTTCGAAATTCAAGCTCGATGCGTCTGAGAAAATCATCTTTGAGCAGATAGGACAAATGGGAGACGCATCTGGTCCAACAGAGAGATCATTTCTTGAGCTTGGAATGGGAAATGACGAGCCTCTCATGCACCAACCTGATGGTATGGCCAATTTGGCTGATATGACTGACACTGATTGGGGAATGTGGGGAGCATCAGAACCGTCGGCACAAGTTGATCTTGGTATTCTTGACGGGATGTGGGATTGGAACGGTCTAGGTTTGGGCGACATGGGCTCCGTCTGAATTCATCTATATCCTGGGAAGAGCAAGCTGCATGGCTCAATAGGGATATCCAAGACTCAGGTCTCTCAACGACGCCAGGCCTAAGACTACGAGTTCCGACATTGTCATGTTCAGTCACGGCGATGTAAAACTCCGCTTGGACTCTCCAAGAAAGTTAGCAGACAACGGATAAGTTATGATCAGCAGTACTTGAAAAATTCACACCGACATCGAATTGGATAAGTACTCGTTGAATGAAATCCCATCCTTGCTCAAGTCTATTTTGTTCTTTCACGCCTTGGTTCATTCCAACAGAAACCCAGCGCAATCTATTTAATTCCAGTTCAAATCGTTATTCATCATTAACTTCAAATTCCAAGTCGCATCCAGTCTCACAAAATCAAGGCTCCTCGTGATGCGCCGCCTGTTCCATCTTCTTCGCTTCGACTGGAATCATCGGGACTGGAGGCTGCTTGGCAAGCTTGACAGTGGCCATGGCAGAAGGAGCCTCAGTGAAGAGAGTCTCGATCTCTTCAAGGGAACGTCCCATGGTCTCGGGGAAGAAGAAGTAAACTGAAAGGGGGATGCAAGCTCCAACCGCGGCGAAGACAATAAAGTACCTCCAGGAGATGGTATCAATCGCAACGGGTGTGATCATGACCACGACGAAATTCCTATTGTAAAGCATGTTAGTGTACTGAACATGCAATCAATTTTATTACTAAGAACGGGAAGAACGTACCAAAGCCAATGGTTCGCTGTGGAAATGGAAGACATTGCCATACGTAAACGCAGGGGTGCAATTTCAGTGCAGTAAAGGAAGTTGGCACCAAGGAATCCGATCTATGTGAACGTTAGAAGATGAATTAACCCAACGAAGAATAATCGGTGATGATGACTTACGGGAACAAACGTGTTGAAAAGGTAGATGAAGCACCCAGCGATGATCATCGCAGGCTTGTTCGATTTATCCATCGAAGTGGTCACTGCCAGGGCAGTCATGCAGCAGCACATGCCAACACCACTGATCATGAAAACAGCGCGTCGTCCAAATCGGTCAATAGCGACAAACGCGATGAAGGAAGACAAAAACTTCCAGGTCATGGCGCCAGCGGCGAGGATCTTGGATAGCTCGGGTGACAGACCAATATTCTTCTTAAAAAGAATGGGAACATAGACTGAGATGAGGTTGGAACCGGACATTTGCTGATAGAACTGCAACAGGATGCATAGAGCAAATCTGTAGAGCAGCTTGTCTTTGCCCATGGTCATCATGTCCGTAAGCTTGGATCCGCTGACCTTGGTCTCCTCCAGCGAGTGTTCAATGCCAGAAACTTCAGCGACGACTTCGACGGCATCCTCTTCATGGCCTCGGAACGAAGCTACGATAGATCGAGCTTGTTCGGATCGCCCCTTCATCACGAGCCAGCGAGGGCTCTCGGGAAAGAAGTAGACAGAGAAGCAGAGCATCAGGGAGAAGATGATGGCTAAGCAGATAGGAGGTCTCCATGTAATCATGCCGTCGACGAATTCGAAAAATCCCAGGTTGATCCAAGATTCCAAAGTGTAGCCAACGCAGATGAAGAGACCGTCGAGAACAACATGCTTTCCTCTGTTCTTGGCGCCGGAAGTTTCACTCTGCCACACTGGGACGATTGAACTAAGGCAGCCAACACCGAAGCCGATGAGAACTCGGCCGACGATGAATTGGGCGAGCGAGAAAGCCGAACCCTGAAGAACTTCGCCAATCAGGGTGGCCAGACCGCCAGCGAAGATGACATTTCGACGTCCGTACTTGTCACCCGTGTAAGAGCAGGACAGGGAGCCGACGAGAGCACCAATGGTGAATGTGGCAACGACGAATCCCTGAAGTGTAGACTTGCTACTCTTCTCGGAGCCGGTCGAGTTCACAGTATCGATCTCAGGGAAAGTCTTCACCCAGTCCGATTCTTCTAAATATCCACCAATGTTGGCTTGGTTGTAGCCAAACAGGATGAAGGCCGGAGCGACGATGAGAAAGAGCTGAAGAATGCTCAGGGCGTTGCCCGAGACTCCCAAATATGTCCGTGGCATGTTTTCTCAGTGTCGGATATGGCGAATACAACAAACAGCCGGGTATGAGAGAAGGAGAGATGGAAGAAACTCGCCACGGCCGAGACGAGAGTTAGGACCCAGGCCGGCCTTCTTGTACTCCAACTCCAGAAGGGGAAACAAACTTCTCATGGAGCCCCGTGGGAACTCTTCGTTGCCTCCACAGTGGTCAGCATTTCAAACTACTTCCCCTCTTTCCTCCAATTTCCTCCAATTTTACTCCAATTTTGCCTCCCTTGCCCCCAAACCCACCCAAATCTACCTCCCGGATCTCAGTGAGGAGTACCTGTTCCGACCCAGCCGGGGGGCGGCCGTGCGCGTTACAACTTCACCACTGTCCGAAGACCGCGACTCGAGGGATTTTCGTAACCTCGCAAGCGGAGCCAATCCACCGTGGCATGGTGCCCGTCAGGGGCACAGCATGAAGCTATCAGTGGAAGTCTGCGACACGAGCCGCGAGCGGCTATGACGGCACGGAGAAGTTCGGTGAGAAGGCTTCTAGCGCAGCGGGATTTTTTCTAAACTGCCGGGCTGCCGTCATAGTCGGCATCAAAGGTGGAGCTCCAGGCCTGCACGATACCGTCTGTCAGCTCTAAGTGGCTCGGAAAGTGGCCGTCTGTCAGGATCAGGCACGCCCGGGCCCGGTTATCTCGAAGGGTTCTGGGTCCTCATCAATGCCGGTGCGCTCGTTGGTCTGTCATCCCTTGGCCTCAACGCCGCAAGCGGCCTCTCTGTTGGCCACGCGGCGGTGTCGGAAGCTTGTCGATGTCCACAATTCACGACGTCAGGCCAGTTTCCACTGCAAAATTGTAAGTGGGTGACATTCCATCTAAGACATGTCACCAGAACGCTTCGAGCGGCATCTCAAGACATGAATCTTGTATTCTTGGATTGGCAATAACAACCACGTCATCTACTGGCAGATGAACCTCTACAGTATTCTACTACTTTCATAAATCCTTTTTTGTTATCTTCATGGTTTCATTGTCCGGATTTACGTCGGACTACAACATGATCGGGGGCCACATTTTGAGCCGTCCACTTGACTGGCAGGGTGGCCTGTCATCCGGTGCATATCTTTAACCCAATCAGCACAAGTGAGGCTGAGTGGGCTGGATTGAAGTCGGATCCGCCCAAAAAAAAACAAAATGATGACAAGTTTGAATCCTCTTACTCAACCTTAAGCGTAATAATCTCGAGATTTTGCCCCATCAACCCAATGTGAGAGAGCACATCATCATGTCCCCCAATGGCAAAGAACCTATTAGTGAACCATCAATGTCCATAATATGTAAGCGCAATCCCATGGTATTAGTCAACTATCGCATTTGTTCATTGCTCAGATCCCCCCATCAAAGTATATCACCCTTAGTAAGGAGGCTATACTCAAGTCTTTCCAGCAATGAGGGTCTAGTTGAGAAAATTGAACCTGTACGCCTGACTTCGTAGATAACGGCCGGTCCCAATTGCATACATGCATTCATAAATGTGAACCGGCCCGTCATCGTCTTTATAGGCGTATCCAACACTACTCTCACCCCTCCCTGCATCCTTGTCTATAACCGCTGCACATTTATCAGCCAGGGGCAATTTATAATCGACCAACCCTAGGCTGGATGTGGTACCTACGCCCCAATACTCTAGCCGATGCTAAATTGTTCAGTGTACATACTGCTGCCTAGACTCTCGTGCATTAATGATGGGTATCGACGTGAACTCCACTAACAGCAAAGCTAGTAAATAATCTTTTATTGAAGTCAGGGAACGTTTCATGTATTCGATAGTGACTATATGAAGAACAATGAAGAAGAATCTCACGAGGACAAAAGAGAAGATATCTTTCTTATGGGTCAATCTAAATTTGAGCAACCAGTGACTAGGAGGAGCTTTCTTACGCTCACATGACGAGAGAGTGGCAAAAGTAGTTGGCTACAGTTCGCTATGGCATCTGAACATTGGGGAATTATGCATCTTTTATTGATTGCCTTCAATATCATTCGGCGGTAAGCGTAGGCCCACTCTCGAAGGTGCTCCGTTGGCGAGGCGAGGGTTCTTCACCAACGGCTACAACGTGGAACGATCCGAGTTCGTATATAGGGTAGGCCGGCCCGGATTACGATGAACAGGGTCACTCAAGAGCCTTTTCAGGGTGAGCAAATGACCAGGATATCATCCGCCCCATAGCTCGTTGTCATCAGCACGTGGAAAGGATTGAGTGGATTTTGCCACTTGTTTTTCGTTTTGACAGATGGCAGCTAGCCAGGTTTTATTGACAATAAAAATATTTGCGCTTTTCTGACATTGGTACATGTAGCTTCTAGCATAGGCTTTTGAATCACTAGGTTCCAAGCTTCTATCTAGGGATGAAAGCATTTAATTAGATGAATACTTGATCATTGCGATTTGCCTTCATGAAATCATTTCAGAACGGCTAGATACCTATATAGCTGAGTACATTGTAATAGGTTGATGCAAGGGACCCTGACAGTCCAAGTCAATGCCAAACCTTTATCAACCATCCAAGTTCAGGTTAGTCATTGAGACGCAGTATTTATCCGACAATGATTTCCGATATGCCATTCCTTTACAGTTTAGACGGAGGGTCAAGAGCATCCAAAACTGCCTGGTAAGCCGCATTGATTCTCGCATGCAGAGCTGCAAGTTGATCAGCGTAGGAGGGGTCGACTAAGCCACAAATTAGAAAAAATTTCAAATCACCGATGATGAATTGATAAGTTCACTTACCAACGTTAGCGAGAGCAGCGAATAGCGCATCCGCGTCCTCCTAAACGGGTGTTAGCAAGCATCATATGACGGCATCTGGAACAGGAGGTACCTTAACGGCAGCGAGGAGATCAAAGACCAGATCGAAGTAACCACTATTCTTAATCACGTCAATCTACAGTATAATATTAGCAATGTGAACATTTTTCCGTGTCGTTGGCTATTAGTTATGAGTAAATACCTTGAGAATAATATTGCCGAGAATGGTTTCAAGAAGAGAGACAGTGCTCTCGCCCGCCGTATTGAGAGTGGCCGATTGAGCAGCAGTCAAGGCACCATTATCGATAACATCTTGAGTAGTACCTTTGAGGAGGGTTTGAAGGTTCGTAATGTCAAGGTAAAGCGAAAGGCTCTCGCTCAAAGTGCCAGTATAAGCGACAACCTTTGTGTTGATCGAGGTCAACTTGGCGTCGACCTGTGTGAAATCATCCTGGATGTCGGCAAAGTCTCGTTTGACGGGAACAGGAATTGCCGAAGCCAAAGCAACAAGCCCAAGAGTGAAGATCTTTGCAAACAGCATTGTGGCGATGGTAATGAACAGAGTAGTGTTTCTAAATAGCCTTGAGGTTGCAAGATGCAATTTTTGCTTGATAGAAGGTGCCGGTGGGATTTATGATGGCTTGGGAAGATAAGGTCTATTTATCTTCGGCTGGAAAGCCTCGAAGCCGATAAAGTTGTTCTCATGCCCCCTCTGAGCTCCCGATCACCACATGTCACAATGAATAAGCTTGTGATTGGCCGGGCTTCCTCGGGATAAATTCATGTGATGCCTGATGAATTGGTCTTTTTCATGTTCAGGCTTCCAACTGCGGGGGTAACATGGCAGGAAGCCGAGTTACTTTCCCATTATGCTTGATGAATTATAGGGATAAGGCGCGATACCCGTGGATCTGTTCTCATCGCGAAGTGATAACCTACTCAGGACATGACTGATGTCGGAAAATGGAAAATGGCGTTGTAGTATGGACTAGGGTAGTCTGCCAACAGAACCATTGCAACACATGCTTCCCCGTGGGGAAACTGAATCACCGCATGGTAGTACCAAGATAGAGATCTAGATGCTCCATTTTGGTTCGAAATGGTAACATCAAATCGCCTAATTATTGTAGCACTGCCTATCACAGTAGTCTCAGCCGAGGGAATCCGATTTGGTCACCATCGTCTCCGCATAAGACGAATCACAATGTCCAAACCCTCTTGGATACGACCACAGACCCATCTGGCTCAAATTGCGACCCTGTAATGCGTGGCCAAACTTTCAAGGAAGCCAAGATTGTTCATGGAACTAGAATGAATCCAATACCGAGTTCCTCGGTAGCGCAACTCGACGTTGACTTCTGTAGTGATTTGGCGTAAAGAGGTCCCGTTCGATAGGGCTTGATTTTAAGACCATACAATCAATTTCGTTATCTAGTCTCCTGCGAGAAGACAATTTTGTGTATTAGTGACGAAAGCTATTGCTGGACATTGACTTATAATCAAGCGAAGGTGGATTTCTTTATAGTCATTTGGTTTTTGTAGTAATTTACATGTGCTCGCACTTTTATTGATGTCACAAGTTGGCCGCTGAAATGCCGACAATTCGGGTTGAGGTTGCCAAACCCCTCGGATAAATGGAATGAGAACTCAACTTGCTTGGAAGATCCGACAAATTAGGGTCTGACGCCGGTTTGGTAGCACTGAGTCGAATCACACCAACCCCAGGATGAATTGGCGCGGTTGACCACGTTCAGGCACATATTCTGATCAGGCTATTATACCTCACTCGGCTGGCCACTGCTACCTAAGTAGGTAACTAGGACTAAAAGGAGCCGTGTTGCTGACCAGATGCCCCCCAACACGTCCCATTCTAAGATGGTACTCTGCGGCGGGGGAAAAGGAGAGGGTGTGGCCCGTCTGCTCAGAACTTACCTATCCACAATAAGATTTGCCGATAGAGTCTCAGGAACAAAGGAATCCCTCAACTAGTCAAGCAGGTGGTCAAGCGAAAGGCGTTCATTTGACAACAAGACCCCTCTGACACACTTTTAAGTGCACCCGATGCATTATGTGACTGAGTGTGGTAATACGGCCGTAGCAGGCGGGGAATATGATTGGTAGGGGGATTTACATTGTGTTCAACTGTCCAAACGAGTTGGGAATGTTGCATCTGGGCGGTGTAACCCCGCCATGGTAGGTGGCCAGCTAGCAGCATGTTTGGATTTCATTAGCTAACAATATTATAAATCATAAGACGGGGTATACCATTCTCTCCCACTGTAACTGGAATTACATGTGAGCCTCAATGCTCATTTTCCCCCAAGTTGATCAACGGCTAGCACTCCCTTTGAGACTATATTGGGAAATAGCAACCATCACAAGGTAAGACTGAACTAGGGGTTACTCCGAAGAGGATACCAGGATGAATCAAACAAACTACCGGTCACTGACGATTTGGGATCAATTTGAAAGATACTATATCAACAACACATCATCATGTACCTGACTTGAGCATCTTCCATCCGCCCAGGCAGACTGAGACAGCTCGAGGAGATTCCAGCGCTGGTGGGCTTAGATATATATAACATTCTATGACATGGCTGAGTCATCAAATCCAATCCCCTGTGGCCCAGCTGGCTAAGGCGTCCGACTGTTATTCACTAACGTCATCGGGAGATCGACAGTTCGATCCTGTCCGGGGGAGTCCTTTCCCTTTTGCCTCTATTTTTGGCCAGCTTTTCTACTCTCTTGGTCAAGTGGATAACAATTTGCCTGGAAAGTCTTTGTTCACTGAAGCTTGGGTCAGTTGGCCATAGTTGGGTGCCGCATTCTCCTACGAGGACTGACGTGCATCATCATATCGGAGGGTTGCCAAGCCGTAGTACGGTGACCATTAGTTTACTGCTATGTATGCTATATCATAGACCTATAACATATGCCTGCGAAATTATGCATGGGTACATGTAGCCTTGTTATAACATCTCAATGTGAGCCACCCTTTTCCTTATCGCTCGTTGTACCCTCCTGGTTAAGAGTGGCAGCTACATGATCCGTCATATACTTCTCCGTGTTCGGTGCGAAGAATGTCAGAATAATAGCCAGACCCGAAAATGCAATCGTGCTGAGGTATACCGTCCGGTACGCGTCCGAGTTAGCCACTTTGTAGGCTCTTACGCCAACAGCTACAATGTTGTCTGTGATGCCGCTAACAGAGGCGTAGACACTGCTGGGTGCGCTTGTACCAGAGGTGGAGATGATGGTCAAGAAGTCAGACACAGAGTCTGCTGGTAGCCCTGCACCTACGAGAGCAGGTGGAACCAGGCTCGCGGTTGTTTGAGTCAACCTGTTGCTGAGGATGGTTGTGTAGATAGCGACGAGGACGGCACAGATAGCAGCTCGGATTGATGCTCCTAGCCCACCAGCAATTCCAATCTCTCGCTGGTCCTCGACGCAGATCGTCGTGTTGGCCAGGGTAATTGTCTCGTTCCAGCCGATGAAGAAACACCCGAGAAACATCAAAGCAATAGCGGTCGATTTATTATCAGGGTTACTCACGGCGACAGCTGTATTAAAAACTAGTTAGTTATCATGAAAGCGTGGCCATGTCAGAGTCAGCACTTACCGGCAAGAAAGCTACCACCAATCGTGAACACGGTCATGCATTGATACTTCGCTTTGCCAATCTTTGCTGTGAGAACTCCGCCGATAATTTGTCCAGAAATGATGCCGACGCCCACAAGCGACGAGATGCCTCCCAAATAAGTTAAATCTCGGTCGTTGTAAAGGGTTGCGCATTGCATAGGCCAGATGATAGCAAATGCGTAGTATACACCAGCGCCCAGCCCCAGCAGCACGCACGAGACCACCCACTGCGTGTTCTTGAACAGATGCATGGGAATGAGGGGTTCCTTGAGTGGTGCGTAAATCTCCCACAAGACAAAAGCTACCAAGACAACGAAACCAATGACGATCGATGAGATCGTAGCGGCTGACTTCCACGGGTAGACGGCGCCTCCCCAGCTAAGACCGAGAAGAAAGACACAAAAACCGCTGGCGAGCAAGAAGAATCCAACCCAGTCGAAGTTTTTAAGCCAGTATAAGACCGACGAGTTCTCTTCGTTGCGGTGCTTCTTCTCAAAGGAGGGAGGGAAGTAGAACAGGACCCAGCAGATAAGTGCTGCGGCGTTCAACGCCAAGATCTGCCAATATAGACCTCGCCATCCGACATTTGGGTAGGACTGCATGAATCCGTAGTCGATAGACGGGGCGAGGCCAGACGGAATAGTGAAGAGATATAGGAATGCGTTGCCGATGTATCGCCACTTGAGGGGAATAAGTTCGCTGCATTGATCGAGAAGTTAGTACGGGCTTTCTCGGACTTGTTCTATAATGAAGGTAGATTCCTTACCCAAGCACGAAATGGAAACCCATCTGGGTAGCGGAGCAGATTCCCAATAGCACGTTACCACCAATCAACATGGGAATGGAAGTTGAGGTCGCACACACGATACTCCCAGCAACTCCGATCAAGCCTCCTCCAATGAAGAAGTACCGACGGCCGAAAATATCCGTCAACCGCCCGAGGGGAGCAAGAAAAATGGCTAGAGCCGCATTGTAGACAAGAGAAATCCATGTATATCTCGCATCCGGGCCTAGATCAGCGTTGATTTGGGTGAGAATGGGCGCAGCATATCCCTGAATTCATATTAATTTCTCTCCTTAAATGGTAATTTGCCTAGCCGGGAGCATACGTACAAAAGATGCCACCGCTGCCCAAAGTCCAAGACCTGTTGCCAGAAGCGATCCAAGGAAGAACCGGCTGTAGTAGTAGCCCTTTGGAAGGTGTTGAAAATCAGTTTCACATCCTAAAGTTTCATGTTCCTGTATAGAAACAGAATGGGATGATGGTATTTCCGCATGTTGGTGCGATGTCACCTCTTCTTTGGAAGAGTTAGCCATCGTGCTGGGTCGAGGTTTTGAACTCTGGGGAAAAGTTTGATATCACTTGAAACGGCTGCAACCCAGATGGATGAAACGAAGAGGTTAGAGGATGCAGCTGGATGCCAGACTTTATGGGCACTTTATCTCTGGCCAAGATTTAGGTCTTGACACAGTGCACGATGACTAGATTCCAACAGCTGTGGTGCTGGTACTGCACCAAAAGGGAACAGCTGAGGCGGCCTCGTCTTCAGGGAAACAACATCCGAACGCGCCGGAAATTTCGGCCCCGCAATATATTATACTATTTAACTGCATCTTTCATGATTCAAGCCATATCCTGGACGTATTTCCTGGTTTCCTGCACCGCCTTTTGCCAAGTTGGTTTATCCCTTCATCCGAACCGTGTTCTCCGACGACAGCGATGCATGCTCGTGGTTACAACTTGCAAGACGAACATAATTATGCAACCATTTCCCGTAGACTACCGAGATACCCCAAATGAATCCAATTTCACGAGCTAGTAGTAATGGCGACTGGGGGCTAGGCTGCCGTGTCCCCTGAATATCCCAAAATCCGGGGTAAGAGCTGACCATTGACTCGTTTATCTTGCTCAAATGGTACAGCTCCTTGTGGAGAGATTAGTCTTTATGTGCTTTATGCGGGGAAATGAACAAAACCAACAAATGGAACAAGGCCTAGACTACCCAAAGTGACCGCTTGAGCCTCGGTCAACGTTTTCCGCTGGAAGTTCAACTTCCTCCGGAAGTAAACAGCCCCCATACACAACTTCAAGCTCATTGGTCAACATGGGCTGGCTTCAGAGTCAAATGACCGCCGCCAACACCTGACTTTTCATAAATAGCACAGCCTTGTGCTAGAATATCTCAAGACCGCACTGCTGTGTCTGATGCAGGCATCGCCAAGGAACGAATAATTATAGCCTACCGAATACAATTCTAAAGTCATATTGAAAAGGGCAAAGATATAACACTTTAAACAATGGTGATTAGGGTTCTAATGGCCGCGTGTTGAGATCTGATGATCTATCTTCCTTAGTTGTAAGTTACTTGGAAGTGTCGCACTAAGCATAAGACTCTCACCGTACACATTAAGAAGTATCTTGATCATAGTGCCATTATGAAGAGTAGTTTTTCAGGATAGAATCGAAATCGAAATCGACGTCTCCTTTAAAATCTACAAAGTGCGACACGGTTGCATTTCCGTCCACACATCATCGCGTCATTGGTGCTGGGAAAGCCCAAGACTAGACCTAGAAGGCCGCAGAAAAGGTGCAGCGTAAATGTTCCATGCTAGAATTTCAAAGAGGAGAACGCCCATTTTTGTTCAACGGGAGTTTTCGGCGAATGGTTAAGTATTTGGGTCTTGATCCAATGTTTGAGAGTATGAGAGGATGTAAGTTGGGGGGTGTGGGAAGCATATTCATCCAAACCCATTCATATGCTTCATTTGAACTCATTGTGTTGAGTTGTCGGGCTCTGGCAGCTTCCATTGCTGTTGAACTTTATTCTCTTTCTCTTAGGTATGCTTCATTTGAACGTCTGAAGTTTTGGGTCTGTCAGTGGAAGGGCCCCATTTTGTATGGAACGAATCAATCAATCCCACATCTGTATGTTCGTGTCCAGACCCGACACTCCGCCAGCTATGCTTGAACCCTTGCATAACCCGGATATAAAGGACTTGCAGGGGGCATGAACAGAGATCAATTACACTTAGGTGCCAAAGCTGAGAGCCACCGATCCAATGACGGTGAAATAATCCGCTATACGCACCTATGTTGTTGTCGTGGATATGGCCGCGTGGTTCAACTTTGCAACATTTGACGTCGGAGATCTCGCCTTTGGAAAACCCTTTGGTTCCTTGGAAAGCGGTGCTTATCATCCGTGGGTTTTGAATATTTTCCGGGGCATCAAAGAGGCGCCTTGGACATATGTATACCAACGGCTCAGACTAAGGTGGCTGTTTCGTTGGGTTATGCCGCAGAGATACTTGAAAGCTGCCCTGGAGCAGAGGAAATTCGCCGAGCTCACGGCGTTGGCTCGCATTGAGTCCGGGGACACGAAGCGGGAGGATTTCATGTCGTATCGGCATAATGACGAGAGGGGCATGTCCAAGGGTGAGATTCTGGAATTGGCCGCCATTCTCGTGTTGGCCGGGAGTGAGACAACGGCGACGCTGCTCAGTGGTGCAGCATTTTTATTGATGACGAATCGTGACAAATATGAAAAGCTAACCAAAGAGATCCGATCGGCCTTTCCTTCTCCAGATGAGATCACTATCATCCGTGTAAACCAGCTCAAATATTTGCTCGCAGTACTCAATGAAGCTGCTCGCATATGTAAGTCTTGCCTTTCTCAGCCAATCTCTTTGAGCATTCAGATACTCACTTGGCCCATTTTCTGTCTTTAGATCCACCAGTTCCCGTCGGCCTCCCTAGGCTTGTTCCAGACGAGGGTGAGATCGTCGAAGGCAACTGGCTGCCCGGGGGAGTGAGTATTGTCCCCACGAGAATCTGTTCCTTTCACTAATAACGCATGATCTGATTAGACCGTAGTTTCAGTGCCTCAAGTGCCAGCCTATCACTCCAAACGCAACTTCCGGGATCCTAAGAAGTTTGTCCCTGAGAGATGGCTCGGTGATCCCCTTTATGGTAACGATCAAAGAGACGTTGTCCAGCCTTTTTCATCTGGGCCTCGCAATTGTATCGGGAAGAAGTACGATCCCCACACCTGTTTGGTTCATCTACCTCCGCTTCTTGATTACTTGGGCTGACTATGAATTTTCATCAGTCTTGCCTACTCAGAGATGCGTCTTCTGATGACGAACTTGCTGTGGAAGTTTGATCTTGAAATCATGCCGGAGAGCGACGATTGGCTCAATCAGAATGTCTACGTTCTATGGGAAAAGAAGTCTCTCAACGTCAGACTGACGGAAGTTGGACGTGGCAGCAAGCAGGAGTGATAGTAAAGAGGATATTATTTCCTCAGCTCAACTGCCAAGGGACAACTAGCAAAAATGCATGAATTCTTGCAGGGCTTCTTTACCCTCGAAATTATCTGGCAAAGTTGGAACAATACAGAGTTACAGGCAGCGGGTGTGATCAAAGCACCTGTGAAGGACAATTCAGTGGAAATATGAAGACATCTATCGTGGATAGGCTTATATTAATCGTGTGATGAAATCTTCAGACTTACTCTTCTCTTTAAGTGGAACCTTCTCATTTAAACTCAATCTCCCTCACTCTCCGATAAGTCCGGGGCTGTGTCTTCAACTAACTATTGAAATCATGCCTGTCGATGGGGGTCGTTTATTTCAACGAATTTCCCCGGGCTTGGTTTTGATGCGGCAACCCGACACTATTCCGTGTTGGGTTGAAGCCGGGATCCTGCAGGCCTTAACCACCGAGGGGGCTCGGATCCAAAAGGGTTGATCCAAGCATCCACGGAACATTCAATTAATTCAGGCAGGAGAATTGAAACATTGCCGCCTGTCTTGAACACATGTAGTAAGACTACAGAAGTAGTGAAGAGGAGTATAAATACAAGAGACATTCTATCTTGCTCTAGCTTCTGACCATCATCTATTCAGTCATCTTCTACAATCCCGCTCAATCATCCTCACTCACCATGGCCAACACCGCTAAGAAACTCCGCATCGGCGTCATGATGGACACAGTCCAGCTGTCCGATGTCATCGGCGCCGACATCCTCGCCGGCTTCCGGCTCGAATCAATCAAGGAAGCCGCCGCGTTTGCCCCAGAGCTCGTCGGTGACCTTGTGCAGTACGCACCCGACATGGAATTCTTCTTTCTCTCCTCCACTCTCGACCCAACCGGGACGACATGCGGACTCAAATATGCGCCCAACATGACCTACGACGACTGTCCCCGCGACCTGGACATTGTCCTCATCGGCGGGCCCTGGCCGACCCACCGCCCTGCAGCAGCGGACAAATTCATCAAGGAGGCCTGGGAGAAGACCCCTGTCTGGCTGACCACCTGCACTGGAAGCCTGTGGCTCGCCAGCTCCGGCGTCCTCAAGGGCTACAAGGCAACGACGAACCGCTCATTCATCCCCACGGCCCAGCAGTTGAGCCCTGACGTGGATTGGGTTGCCCGACGCTGGGTGACGGGGCCAAAGCCGTATACTGGCGAGTCCAGCCTGAAGCCCGAATTGTGGACAGCCGGCGCTGCAGGTTGCGGTATGTGATTCCCTTCTTCTTGCCTCTGGATCGCCCGTGCTAACATCTACTCGTGTGAAGGCCTTGATATGGTTGTGAAGTTCTGCTACGACACCTGGAATCACCAGCTTGTAGACCTTGCTGTTAAAGAAGGCATGGGTTTTGATGTGGATTCCAAGCGCGGACAGGACTACTGAGCAGATTCTAGATCGTGGGAAAGGCCGTGTATACGAAACGGTTGATATCGCAGCCACAATGGAGGCTCGCTAGATAGCTGTGGAACAATAATTCCCTGGAATAACGTAACAAAAACATAGCTGAACCGTGTCTCACAGTTAGCGTTATGCCAAGGCGTTAGGGTTGGTGAGCTGAAGCTGTGCCCAAGACTAGTATAAATAGTATAAACTATGAAGGCATCCAAAAGCCATCCCCCCGAAGGCTCCGGCCTATAGATGTGACGAACAAATAATCAACAAGTATCGACTCCTCTAGTTGGGTGATATTAATCAATCTTCATTGATCGCACAACTCGCTCACCCTTTGCTGATTCTAAACAAATTGTCACCATGGCACCCCATCCCACCGCCTCGTCCCCAATCGTCAGCGACCGTAACAATGCCAGCGCTGCTCCAACCACCAAGCTCACATCCTCGAGCTCCAGATTGATCTTGGCTCTCGCCGCCAGTCGCTTTGTTCTGGGCGCAGCCGCTTTCCTCGCGCCCGGCATCACATCCCAACTCTTTAAAGTAGACACTCTCCCGGGCGCCAGCCTGATAACCCGCATTTTCGGTGTCCGCGAGAGTGTGCTGGGCGGCCTGACCGCTGCTACATGTCGCGATCACGAGTCCAAGAAGGAGCTGCGGCGCATGCTGTGGGCTGGTGTCGCCGTTGACAGCATGGACGTCGTTGCTTGCTTGATCATACTGGCCTCCGCCGATACAACGGAGGCGGCGGCTGCAAAGACCACGGCGATTGTTGGGCTCGGGGCCGCGTTGTTCGGTTTGTTCACCGTTCGGTCTGTCGATTGGGCCTAAGCACACGAAGTCGATGTTTCATGGAATTTGTCAAATAACGTATAATAAGAATAATATTTAGTCGATTAACAAATCTCTCTGGTCACACTTTGCAATCACAGTAGCTAAAGGAGAAACTAATAATACAAGCTGCGTCATCATTGCACTCATCATCAACATCAAATCATCAGCTCAGCGAGCTATTAATACCCGACGCCGTTGGGATAGAACCCAAGTAAAATGTTCCCCAAGCCGTACGTAATAAAAACCATATCCTTCTCAACTACATTTAATCAGCCGGTCGTGAACTGACGCTGGACAAAGGCGATCAATAGCATTTCGGCCACTAGCCAGTGCCAAAGCCCATAACGAAAGAAAGCCAATCGGCATCATCCGACTCCATTGAGCTTGCCACAGCCATGATCTGCTGCGAGTTCCATTCATCCGGTTGTGTTTTATCTTTACTATCCTCCCCATACATAGACGCATCGTCTAAGGGCGCAAATGATAGAGCAGGGGCAATAGACTCAGGTACTGTAGCCCTTCCCAGAGGTTGAGGTAGGGTCATGGAGGGATGAATACCAAATTGGGCCGCGTGCTGCGTGTCGATGAAGTCGCCAAGGAGTTCGTCGAGCTTTTGCATCTCTGCCTTTCGATACATGGCGATGCGATTGCCACTGCCCACTATGTCCTCCAGAATCGCGTTGGCTTTATCTACCCACGGCGGGTGATTCTCAAGCAGCCTGATATCCACCGCGCGGGCCATGAGAATCACAATCGTCGACACGGAAAGAGAGTCCAAATCCAACGGAATGAAGGTTTCTGAGCACCAGGGTTAGTCTGGTGGGCACGAAAGACAGGAAGCCGACATAACATACCAAGCAAACCCTGCTCTCGGAGGCTCTCAAGAATGTTCAGAATCTGCTGTGCGGACTCAACACACATTTGTAGTGGATTGCGAACTTTGGGGGAGGCCATGAGAGCGTCAGCTTCCAGCGGCGCCTCGAACCTTTTAAGGAGGCAACAGTAGAGCAATGGCCGTGTCGCGAGGACGATGCACTACAAATAGATATTAGCCCTTGTGAGATGGTAGTTCGGCTCGGAAGTCTTGTTTACTTGGTAATATTGCAGATGGAGATGGGCGGCAATCCGTGAAATTCCAACCAAACTAACGTCGGCGTGTAGCGGGAAGGATGACTGCAAATCATCCGCTACAGCTGCAATGCTCTCCAGTACGTTCTTCGTGCTAATCACAAATTTCTTGTTGATGCTTCCGTTTGTCCCATAAACAGCTAAGAGGTTGTTAGCAAGCTGCTATTCCAACTACCGCCAGTGATTTTGTGTTTTCTTGTTGTTATGATACAGTTACATACCTCGACTGACATCGGCGATGATGCGTGCGAACCGTATGTGCATTCCCAGCGCAGCGGTCCGCCGTGATGCCCCAGAGTATGACGGGAGTTGGCAGTGTACGCCCTCATCTCGGGTTGACTGGGGAAGACCCATGAGTGAAGTCATCTGTCGATCCAAGATGTACACAGTCCACCAGATCTTCCGGCACCGTTCGACGAGCTGCTTTCCCAGGTCATTGACAGGCATGTCCGTATGCATACCGTGGTTCATGGCCGTGCTTTTTGCCTGACCAATCTATTTGGAGTCGTTAGAGCTGACCATCTTGCGGCAGGGCTAAGGGACATACAAAGTTATGAGCCGCGTGACGGAAGTCCAGGGCTTGGTAATACCATGCCATGCAGCATAAAATCTCTGTAGATATCACAGGCTCTCTGCAAAGCGCAGTAGCGTCTGGCAACAGCTGCAATGCCCTGACGAAGAAATGGACCCCAGGCGGGCGAGTTCCCGCACCCTTTTGCTGGACGAGACTCTTCCCGAACGCAAGGATGACCAAGAAGTGGATATACCACAGGCTGGACTCGTTGGCACGGGCCTCCGATGGAAGGGAATAGAACCTGTGCAAGTTGGACATGAACTCCTCCTCATCGAACATGTGAAAGAGTTGATCGCAGTGGAACTTGACGGCATTTATCAGATATATGGCATGGTCCACGGCGGGGACAACGAGGGCGGGCATGCTCTGAGAGCTTCTTGAGCCATCCCAGCCGAGGTTATACGCACAGCCGTCAAAGAGAAGGGCATCCGTAGGCAAGGCGGCTTGACAAACATGCTCATGTGCCACGCTCAACACGCGTCTAGAGAAGCCCCAGTTGGAAGAAGTGCCCAGATAGACTGGAACACCGTCGTTCTCCGGTCAGCAATTATTTTTTGTCTTGGATAGATAGAGGCACAAACTCACAGGCTGTCCCATTTGAGGCCGCCATATACTGTGACGGCGTGTTTGTCAACGGATTGGTGAGTTCTGGAGGCTCAGCGGTAGTATGAGTATGCGCAATAGACGGACGCCTCCGGGGCTCCTCTGAACCTCGTTCTGAGGGTCGTGGAGAGGATTCCGATTGTAGACCGTCTCCTGAGGTTCTTGCAGTAATGACTTGAACCAATCGCCCAGTCAGACTTGGCACGAATATGGAGCTACAGGTGATATCTAGTACTCACCGTCGCCATCTGGAGGCCGACAGGTCACTTCGGCATTCTCGTTTTGCGTGGAAGTATGCCTTGCTACCAATGCCTCAAGGCTTTCCAACCGTGCAATTTTGTGTTGTAAATCAGCAAGATATCTACATAGATGGCGAGGTCAGCCTTGTATGCCTCTTGATGATGCGAGAAGAATCGCCATGTCGAAGAGCTATCTAAAGAAGAACACATAAAAAAAGGATACTGACCCTTGCGTAACCATGACCTTATTGTCACGCTTGTCGAATGTGCAGGTCAATCGACGTTGCGCGCAATTGTCGCAGGGCTGCAGCCCCGAGCACTTGATCTTCTGTCTCCTGCATCGTGAGCATCTGCGACGCTGTAAGCCAGTGCTCCGTTTTTGCTGCCACGGCGCAGGTGAGCTGGACAACTCAGGAATGCGAATGACTTACGCATACGTCGAGCGTTTGGCCACTCGACGCGGCGGCGTGGTGGAAGAGTCCATTGTCAAGAAGAGCAAAGTGCCCGCCAGCCACGCGGTTTGCGTCCAGAATGTTCCACCTAGCCTTGGGCCATTCGATAGATGCCCTTTCTGTGGCTCTGCGAGGGTCAGAGATCCGGGCGACTGGTAACAGGTAACCTCACCACTATTAGAGCAGAGTTTGTGTGTGGCTCAGTCCCAGAGCCGCCGGACACGCAGGAAACCGAGCGTCATAGGTGGACCACGCCCCCTGCCGACCTCTCTATCTCTATGCCTGCCCTTCTTTGATTGCGGAGGTCCTCGCCCAGAGACAGGCATGGAGATGATACGACACAGCGGAATGGGACAGGGCTGGCCCTGGAAGAGGGGGCAACGACCCACTGGCGGCCTGGTGACATGAGCTTCTTCTCGTGGATAAACTTCCAGGGGGACCCGGAGAAACAAAGCTACAGATGGTGGATGATTGGCTCGCTTCTCCTGGGCAACTGATAGGTAAATCGATGCAATCGTGCCGTATACGACTCGACTCCCTGTCTTATCATACTACCCCTTTCCTATTTATCTCACGCTGTTCCCCAGCTTCCGTAGATATAATGCAACCACCAATACTTAGGTATATCAGACGGAGGCCGAATAAGGGAGGAAGAACGAACAAAGCGAGGTCGGCTCAGCCAGCTGATAAGGAGCGGAGACCCGGGAGGCCTTGCCGACTGATGACAAGCACTTATTGGACGCCATGTCATTAGTAGACCGAGATCGCTCTCTGCTGGCTCTTGGTGGGGAAATTCCTGGGGTATTCCCACACCCCGAGTTCGGGGTGTCGATAAACTGCCTGTTTTCGTCGCCTTCGTATTGCCATCCTTCTATCTCTGCTTCAGCTACTTTCCTTTTCGGGGGGCTTTGAGTAAAAAAAAATGCCCTGAGATCCGAAAGGAGTTACAGATATATACCGCGGTATCGGTATTCAGTGGCAGGACAAATGCCAGGAGGTGTTGAGAAGCAACTAGTTTTCCCTTTCTCGATTAACGTTACTGTATTTGCTGCATGAATCCCGGACATGCCATTCCTTCCAGCCCCAATTGAGCAGGCGAGGGACAACAGGCGCCAAGTGACTATCGTGAGATGCAGCTCCCACAGCGCCCCAGCACACCATCTC